GAAATTTCTTTAATGGCAAAATGCAGCAGAATGACTTATCAAAAATATAATTCATTAAAGTTTACATGCATTTAAGTTGGTTTTGTATTCTTCTTTGCTTTCTCATTCAATTAGGGAAAAATACCCTTTACTTTGTGGTTTGACTTCTCCTGAAGTATATGTGATTGTAGAGGCTGAAATAGAAATTAAGGCAATGCTGGACGTGTTTTTAACACTAGGCATCTATTTGACAGTATAATTTATAACTTAATGAATGAAAATGGAAACAACTGTGATCCTCTGATGACATCATCAGAGAAAGTTGTTCTCTATCTCAGCTGTTCTCAAAAATCAAATAAGGACAGAAAAGATAACTTAAAAAAAGCACAACCTTTCTCCTAGAAACCCTCATTAAAAACTTTGATGTCATCACAATCTTATCCTTGTACTTTGCCTCTGTGTGTCTCATCAGTTGTCAAGTTCTGTCAAGAATATGTCTCAGTCAAAGAGATACCTTTTTGGTGTCTCTGATGTTTATCTGCCTCCTCCGTCCCATCTCTGCTGCCTTAGTTCTGACCTTCATCATCTTTCCTTAGGATCATTATAATGGGTAACAAATGTCTTCCTTATCACTAGTCTTTTAAAGCCTAACCTTGTACTGTTTGGATCATGTAACTGTTCTTAGATCCTTGGTTATGTCTCTCTTACCTTTAGAAAAAAAGTGAATGCTTTAATGTGACATTCACAGCCTTCCATTTATCTGTTTCTAGACTATTTTTCAAGCCTTCACTGACTAGCCAATCCTTGTTCATTCTCTATACTGGCTAGTTCCCAAAGATGTTCTTCATTTTTTTTACTTTCTCCTCGTACTCTTTCTCATCTCTATCAAAAAGCCTTCTCTGCTTGATGTCTCCTAAGATCCCTCTGGTTATACTTGATCTTCTTAGTTTTTCTTATTGTACATTATTTATACTTTATACTTTGATACTTATGATGCAACTTTGATACAACTTTCTCTTTCACATTAGTTTTTAAACTTTGTGAGGAAATGGATCGCATATAATTTTTGAGTTCCTGGGAGCGGTGTCTTCTATGGTAGAATATCTGTGAATGTTCGAATTGAATTTAACTTTGAAATAGCTAATGGTTTATTATTTTAAGTTGCCTAGGTAGCATATATAGTTTTTATATTCTTTGTCTTTCAAAGATCCAAGCTTTTAAGGTAATCATGAGAAACAGATTTGACTGAGACATATTCTCGACCTTCAACTTAGAAGGTTCAAATAAATAGCTCTCTTTCCCAACCAAGAAACTTGATTGTCAGGAATTGACAAAATAGACTCTACCTGACTTTTTGAATGTGTGTTCTGTGATTAGACCACTAATCCTTATGACCCAGAAACAGGACAGAGTTGGAAGAACAGATACTATCAGACTGGTGCCAAGTTACTCTGTCTCTGGCATTAAGCCTTATCTTAGCACAGTTCGTGTTGCCAGTGAAAAATCATCGGGCTTTTTGGAAATTATATTTCAAGAGTTAGCCTGTATTCGGGGGAGCAAATGTTTCTTATGATTGAGTAAGCTTAAAATCCTAGCTGAGCTAGGTGGGGGCAGAAAAGTCAGAATAAATTCTGTTACCCTCAACTTCTGTCCTCTCCTGTGCTTAGTTGCTCAGTCGTGTCCAACTCTTTGCGACTTTCTATGGACTGTCGTCTGCCAGGCTGCTCTGTCCATGGGGATTCTCCAGGCAGGAATACTGGAGTGGGTTGCCATGCCTTCCTCCAGGGGATCTTCCCAACCCAGGGATCAAACCCAGATCTCCTGTATTGCAGGCGGATTCTTTACCAGCTGAGCCACAAGGGAAGCCCAAGAATACTGGAGTGGGTAGCCTGTCCCTTCTCCAGGGGATCTTCCTGACGCAGGAATTGAACCGGGGTCTCCTACATTGCAGGCGATTCTTTACCAGCTGAGCTACCAGGGAAGCCCCTTCGGTCCTCTAGTCCTCCTGAATAGTCCAAGCTCCAGCATTCCTTGCCCTCTGTCACCTTCTGTTGTAGCATCACTAAGGCCTCATTTTTCCTTAAGCACCTTCCTGGAAACTTAGTTTCTTGGCATTAGTGTGCTTTCCCTTAATTAAAAGTATTATTCCTCAACCATTGCTTATGTTTCAGAAGAAAGTATGTTTCTGAAGCACTACTCTGTCCCGTCATTTTCCTTTTCATTGACATTTTTAAGAAGTTACCTGCAGTCTGCTTCCACTTCTCTATTCCTTAACACTGTGCTCTTGCTTCCGCTCACAACACTGTGCGGAAGCTGTGTTCAGTGATGTTACATATATCAGATTCTGTTCCAAATCTGTTTTATTTTTGTAATGAGTGTTTACAAACATAAACTTTACATTTGCTTCTTTAGCCCATAACTTCCTAACTTACTCTGTCTAGGTATTCTTTTCATATTTTAATACAGCTGGATATTTTATTCATATTTGCATTGTTAATAGAATATTAATATAATTTCTTTCTTTACAATTTATAAATATGTTAAGTACATTATATGTTATTTTATATGTTATAAAAGCCTGATAATAAAATAATCATCTGTACCAACTATTCGGGGCTTCCCAGGTGGCGCTAGTTGTAAAAGAACCTACCTGCCAATTCAGGAGACATAAGAGACTCAGGTTCTATCCCTGGATTGGGAGGATGCCCTGGAGGAGGGCATGGCAACCCACTTCAGTATCCTTGCCTGGAGAATCTCATGGACAGAGGAGGCTGGTGGCTTATAGTCCATGAGGTCGCAAAGAGTCGATCGTAACTGAAGTGACTTAGCACAGCACACCAAACTATTATATGTAAAATAAGCTACAGGATGTATTGTATAACACAGGGGAATATAGCCAATATTTTATAATAACTATAAATGGAATATAACCTTTAAAAATTGCGAATCACTGTATTGTACACCTGTAGTATATAATATTGTAAATCAGTTGTACTTAAATAAATGCATAAGTAAAATGAGCATCTGTGAGCATCTGTGAATGTACCACCCAAGTTGAGAAATAAAACCTTACTTTACTGATAACCCTGAAGCTCTGTGTGTGTATTATAGCCTCTACATTTCCAGAAATAGAATTTTATGTTTATTGTTCCTACCTTTATTTATAGGTTTATCTGATTTTTTGTCCTTAAGCAATGTATTAATAGTTTTAGTTTGTTTTAAAACTTCATACAACTGTGGGAGAAGGCGAGGGTGGGATGTTCTGAGAGAATAGCATTGAAACAAGTATACTATCAAGGGTGAAACAGATCACCAGCCCAGGTTGGATGCATGAGACAAGTGCTCAGGGCTGGTGCACTGGAAGACCCAGAGGGATGGGATGGGGAGGGAGGTGGGAGGGGGGTTCAGGATGGGGAACACATGTAAATCCATGGCTGATTCATGTCAATGTATGGCAAAAACCACCGCAATATTGTAAAGTAATTAGCCCTCAACTAATAAAATTAAATGAAAAAAAAAAGGAACACTTGATTAAAAAAAAAAAACTTCATACAAAAGGTGTCATGTTGTATGTATTCATGATTTTTCACTCAGCTTCACGGGGGAAGCAGAGATTGAGGAGGTGTTCGTGGGTTAGGGAATGTTCTCCAGTTAAACTGTTTATCCTGGGCGGTCAGGGGCCATGTCTTATATATCCTTTGTGAATTTAACATGTAGCATTATGTTTTTTATAAGGTAAGACACTCAATGTTATCTGGAAATCCAGGGGATCCCTATCATATTCTTTCTTTATTGGATACTCTTTGCTGTTTTGGTGATGCATTGTTGATGAGTTAGATACCTAAGGAGAAGGATGTATTTAATGTTGATTAATCCATCTGGGAGTTATGGTGTGGTTCAGAGCTTTTTCTTCCCTATTACTGATAGGTTTAGACATAGAACTCACAGTTGGGGGAGGGAAGCAGAGTAGAAAATGTTTATGTATGAGATCTTTGTTTCTAAATGCATAGGTCTGAGACTACTAATTCAAGTGCTTGATTAAATGTGTTTGTAGATGCATAGAGATGGTATAGGTGGGAAAAAAAATTAAAAATTATAACGATAATGGCTTGTAGTTAGGTTTGGTGAATAAGAGTGGATTAGTGGCACAGGGTTGGAAGGGATGAGTATCAAGAAATGAGAAAGCATTAATATTTAATATAAAATGTGACTAGAATCAAAGCAAATTGGGGTGCTTTTGGAATTTCACATAGGTGAGCAGAACCCTTTTCCCCCCTTAAGTTGTATCTTACTCAGCATCATAGGAGTTGGTGTTCATTGATGCCCATTCATCTAATACTAGTAAACTGATAGAATGAAGAGCATTAAGATTGTGGAAATAAGTGATAGGAAAAAAGTTATCTCTCTTTTAACTGAAGTATAAATTGATCTACAGTTGTTGTGCCGATCTCTGCCGTACAGCCAAGTGACTCAGTTGTACATACATACATTATACATTCTTTTTATAGATTTTTTCCATTATGGTTTATCACAGAATATTGAATTTAGTTCCCTGTGGTATGCATTAGGACCTTGTTGTTTACCTACCAAAATGTAGTACTTCACACCCACCAACCCCAAACTCCTAGTCCATCCCTCTCCCCCAGCCCTCCTCTACTGTGCCTTCCCCCACAAACCCAAGTCTGTCCTTTATGAGTCTGTTTCTGTTTTTTAGATAGGTTCTATTGTGCCGTATTTTAGATTCCACATATGAGTGATAGCATGTGATATTTGTCTTTCTCTTTCTGACTGACTTCACTTAGTATAATAATCTCTAGTTGCATTCATGTTGCTACATATAGCATTGTTTCATTCTTTCAATAGCTGAGTAGTATTCCATTGTACATATATACTATATCTTCTTCATCCATTCATCTGTCGATGGATTTAGGATTATTTGTGTTCATTTTGTTTCAGAAAAGAACTCCTTTTAATGAAGTACACCATTCATTGCGGAAGTGAAAGAGTAGAGATTATTCATCATGCCTGCTGTGGCTTCAGTTCCTAAAGAACTCTACCTCAGTTCTTCACTAAAAGACCTCAATAAGAAGACAGAAGTTAAACCAGAGAAAATAAGCACTAAGAAGTATGTATACTTTGCTAGTTTGAGTCATATTTAGGTATCATCCGCTATTGAAAATTAGAGTGTTCTATGAAGTGTTTGGTAAGCCAAAATGGTGTAAAGAAAGGAAACAATTACCTTTTTTCATGAAAGCAAAAATCCCCTTTGAATTTCTTTCCGTTCCTGAAAAAGAGGTATTGAGTTAGGTCTTCTGTAAAAGTAAAGTGATATAAAATAACCTTATGAAACGTGGGGAATAGCTATTAACTTTTAATTCATTTCCATTTTATTAAATGGGTTAGAGAAGTTCTTAATTTTATCTTGGCAAAATACATACATATTCTGCTAATATGCATATTATCTGTTCTCTGGACAAATACATCACATCATAAGTTTAAGAGGTAAAGTCTGCAAGGATTCTGTAAACCTTATTCAACCACAGTTAATGTCTTTGCAACAGTACAAATGTATTTAATTGAAGATCATTTTTTTTTGCCCCTCCCCTGAAGATCATTTTTATTCTTATATATCTCACATATAAAATATGGTTCTAGCATAGTCTTTGATTAAAAAAGAAGAAATATGTATTTTTTTATGCAGTATTCAGCACAGTATTTGTGCTAATTTGACATGAACTTTTAACATAATGATATATTTTTTGTGTTTCTGTTTTTGAGGACATGTGGTCTGTCTATGTTGAAGTCGACTGTATGTTGTAGTAGAGGCTAGAGATGATACCTTCCTGAATTTGCCCTGAGATAAAACATAGTAGGGATGGAGAAGTCTGGGTATTTTGATGTTTACTGGAAGTTATTTAGCTTAAAATGGGGTATCACTAAAATTGTAACTTGTTGATAGTTTTATCTCTGGTAAAGGACAGGAGGCAGTAGGGGAACTTTTCTTCTGAATTTATTTTGACCAACAAAGGAGACAATTTGGACATATGTAACTATATTATTATGGAGTTGAGAGAGTTTCAGGAAGAAAGGTGGGTCTTGGCAGCCTTACACCCTACACTTGAGGCAGTCAGATTTTAGACATTGGGGGAAAACGTGTTCTGTGACTGGAGATAAATAATAAGGCTCTAAAAAATAATATATATGATTCTAAATGAACCTGTGAAGAGGCATCTTAAACCTGTGATTGCACTGGGACATCTTTATAAGTTATTTTCTAGAGGAAATAAACAAGATAGGAAGAAAATATCAATAAAACATGGATGAAGACAGAACAGTAAGAACTTTAAAGAAGGTCAGGAAAGAAAATTCTAGAATGAACTGATACTTTAAAGATTACTAAAGATAATATGGGCTTTCAAAAAGATTTTTGGGTGGGGAAGGGGTAGGAAGAATGAGAGAGTGACTGGCCTACTTCTTGAGCCAAGTTGATGTTGATGGGGTGATAGAGAAAGTAGCTCTGTTAAACTCTCTTGGAATGATTTTCTTTCTTTTTTTTTTTTTTTTGGAATGATTTTCAAATAGGAAATAGTGGGAAGGATAAAACCACCTTGAAGCTTTCTTGGAGAGCTTCATCTAATCTTAAAATAGATAAATCTGTTTTAGCAATGTTTGCTTTAGCTCTAGGACTACCCTGACTCCATAGGAAGTGGTATCTTGGAAAAACTTCCTAAATGTACCACCACAACTCATATTCTTACAATGTCATAGTACCAGTCTAGCAGATGCTAGAATCCTTTTAGGATTTGTGGTTGGTTCATTGGACTCACAGAGGCATTGCAGCCACCTCAGCTGGATCTGGTACGTAGGGGCTCGTGAGATTTACATGCATCATAGTGAAAAGAAATTTGGAAAAACCTAAAGGCTATTATACCCACTCCTAAACTCAGAGAATCTCCTTACTAAGCTTTGATGTGATTTACCTCTGTTCTAGGACTTCAGTGCTGTCCTTGAGAGGGCATACACACTGACCGAGATGATCCTTGTGTAGGACCACCTCCGGTCTTAAAGACTGCTTCAGCCCCTGTTCCTCTTTGTGGTGTTCTAATTCCTTCACCTGACCAACTTCATCATTAATCCATATCTCAGTCTTAGAGCATAGTTTGAAAAATATAGAAAACAGGATGCACTGCTTTGTAGAGATAAATTATTGATAAAGCATATTGTGTATAAGCATTGGTACTATAACTTGATTGGTGAAACTTTAGTCGTAAGTGAATGAATTCCTCTTGTAGAAATGTTTGCTTTATTAATTTGCTTTCTGAGGGCTGTTAAATCAGGAAAATGTCCTTAGAATGAATGCCGTAGAATCCCCAAATTATTTTATTGGAGTGGAGTTTTAAGATGACATATTTTTAGACTTTAAATCTCTTTTCCTTTTAGGCCCAGTGAATCATTCAGCTATTGTATAGAAAACTCTAAAAGATTAAACTCATGTCCCCTTTCCTGGTTCTAGTTTCTTGGGTGGGGAGAAATTTACATCATGGTTAATTAGAAAAGACTAAGGAGAATTGAATAGTATTTAACTTTAAAATACTAACTATTTTATCTCCACTACTTCAATACGAGTAGTATACAGCTCTGTTCTTTAATTGTAGAGTATGACTATTATATGGATGCTGGAGGACTATTTGCCTCAGGATTACCTTTTGTAGTAAATCTTTTAAAACTAGTCTTAGATGCATTTTGAACAGTTTGGTGACATACGAACAATTTAGGAAACGTAAGTATTTAATTGTAGCATAAGGGAAATTTTCATGTTGTATCCAAGCTTATATCTAACTTTGTATCAATTCTGAAGTAGTGCAGTCTAAATTATGAAATGTATTGAGATTCTCTGTAGACTTTATACATGACTTTTTCCTCCCAGATGTCAAGTGTTTTAATTATTTTTTTCTCTAATTTTAAGTTATGTACAGAGTGCCCTGAAGATCTTCAAGACTGCAGAAGAAAGCAGATTAGATCGTGATGAGGAAAGGGCCTATGTGCTGTATATGAAATATGTGACTGTTTATAATCTTATTAAAAAAAGACCTGATTTCAAGCAACAGCAGGTACCCTTTATTTCTAAGCTTTTATTTGCTAAATTATTTTTACATGGTGGAGCTGTTGATCTCTAAAATTTTTAACTAACCCTGAAATTTAACAGAAAATGCAAATTCTTCTGCAAGCAGAAAAAGCTAACTAAAGATTTACTTTAATTATTTGCAAACTTATATGTGTGTGTGTGTGTGTGTATATACATACTCACACTGTATACACATACTTCATTTGCTTTGGATTAGTACAAGTTTATAGCAACATACAGACTCATAGTTTTCTGTTGTAATTATTGCCAGGTCAAATGGAAGGATTCAGTTTATTCATGCATTAAATAAGAAAAATAATGACTGTAGTTGTACTTTTTCAAGAGTCAGGGTTTAGTCACTTGTTTTTATGTGATAGCTCTTATATTTAATTGACATCATAGCCATATTAAAGATCTCAGCTTGCAAAATTAATGTTGACCACTTCCATTTTTATATATTTATTTATTATTTTCAATCCTTTGAGCCAGGTGCCTTTCTTTTAATTTGCTGAAGCACCAGGAGGGATTGTGGGAGAGGTGTTAGTGGGTAAAGAGAATTTTTGCCTGGGATAAGTGTTGCTGGAGAAGATGGTTGCATTTTTATCACACCAGAAACAAACGAAAGAAGAAAACAGAAACTGGGTTAAAGAAATGGGAAGAATATTGTGTTCATAGTTCTTTCTGTGTGTGTGTTCATGGTTCTACCTTTACCTAGGAATGATCTTGCTACTAGAGAATAGTAGCAAAATCCTACTTATAGATTTCTTATCTGGTAGACAAGCCATTCTTGAATTAATATTGTGATTTTTTACTTTGATTCACTAGTGGCAGAATTAGCTTGTCTCATTTAAATTGACTTATAGAAGCATGAAAAGAAAAGTTCTCTTACTCTTCAAAGTAACCTCTTTTTTTTTTTGTCTACAGTAGTGGGACTGATAATTTCTTTTAGTTGTGGGTTATGGGATAATTTTACTATTTTCTTTAATGGTGACAAATGATTGCTGGTGTTTCTTCTCACCAGCAAAATTATGTTAGTAATCTTTACAGGGTTTTAGGTCTAGCTTTGGAAAGATAGCCCCCTGCATTTGGAGGTTCATCTTCCTGTCTACAGGTGGGTGGAATGGTCCTGCCCTTGGACCACTGTTGGACATGCTTACCTTCAGATAAAGATGGAGCCCTATCTTGCACGCTCTTTGATGGTTTTTACCATATCTGTTAAAAAGGTACTGCTTAGAACCAGTATACAATTCATGATTTAATACTTCCTGTCATCCCTGATGTTTTTCCTAACTCCACTGGAAGATTTCTGAAAATAACAATGATGTAATGGACATTTTTCTCAGAGGGTCTTTGAGTCATGTTGTTTCTGTTCAACGTAAAACTAAAGAAAAGCTACTCTGCTATATGCATATGTATGGGTTATGAAGGACTACCACAACTAAAAGCTTTGGCTTATTTATAAAATAATAAAAAGAACCCAGTGCTGAAAGACCCTGGTGGCATCACAAAAACATCACAGGCTGGGTAAAACATGCCTGGGTTGGGATTGCACTCTCTCACTTTGGGCTCCTGAGCAAGTTGCTTCATCTTTCCTGAGCACCCCCAGTTCCTGTAAAGGGGAACCTCCTTGGTGGGTTGTAGTAAGAATCAGAGATAAGTCTTGTATTATTATTTCTATCATACTGTAAGTATTCTATAAATATGGATGTGTGATTGAATAAATGGTGACAGTTATTCTGCTTATTACTATTGTAAACATGTTTTATTCATTAAAACATAAATCTGAATTCTGTCAGAAATATAAAAAAGATACTGCTTAAAAAGAAATGTAAAAGTATGTACTAAAGTAAATATTTTTGAAAGATTTGAAGATTTGGAGAACTTCAGTAGTTTTGGTGTCTGCTTTTTTGTCTTTTGTGGTAGAGCCAATTTTTTTATGTACTTATTTAACTTTTGCTTCATTTTTCTAACTTAGTGGTTACTTTTTTTTTCATTGACAAGATTGGGAATGGTTATGTATTTACCTTTTTTTTTTAAAAGCTTGAAGAGATTGGAGTAAATTTTAACCAGTAAGAAATTTTTCTATTTCCACAGAGTATCTATTGCTTTCTGAAGAGGGTATCCATTAATAGTTTAGAGTGGCAGGACTTGTTCAGGTTAGGAAGCTCCCTCCAAAGGCTCAAGTAACCCAAGCTTTTACTTCATATGCTGCAGATGTTCAGTTCTTGGTTTTCTGTAAACGGATTGTTTTTTTCCATTTGCTCTGTCTGGGGTACCACATCTGCTTCAGTCTTAGAACTGTGTTTTGTTTTATTTAGCTTAGCTTCTCTGGTGCAGTTTAAGTATGTGAAGTATTAATTTTAGTAACTACATATTTTCTGGTTTTCATCCTTTAAATCCAGAAGGGACAGAATGCAATGTGACCAGCCTTCTTCAGAAACTTACATTTTTCACTGGTTTTACACCAAGATTTAGAGAAAACTTGTTAATTTAGCAAGTTTGCTAGTAGAAAACATGTTTATTATTTACTCATTGAAAAATATCAGTTTATGAACAATTTTTTAGGGTTATCTGAAAAAGAGGGAAGGCAGATATACTGAAAATATTAGTATAGCAAAGTCTAGATGCAGTTAGAATATTTTTAGTCCTTTAAAAAAATTTTTTTTAAATCTCCATGGTGATCTTGATAATTAATGCTAAATATTATTTTTATTATTATTTTAATCCTAAATATTATTATTGTAAACCATTTTGTTGGGGAATCATAAGAATTGCTTGAATTTGTGTGTTCAGGAATAGGTAAACCTAAGAAGCAAATGCTTTTGGGTGTATAAGTATTGGACTTTTTTTTATTATTCTGCTAATCATCAATACTATTGAAAATTGGAAAAATATACTTACTTGAGCTGTGTTTCTTTAAGAGCACAGAGAGAGATAATTATTGACAAGAAACCTCACTGATATTAGAGGAATGTCTTCTGGGAGTTTGTAACAGCGTTGCCCAAACATAATTTTTTCAGCATTTCAACAGTGTTAAGTCAGGCTTTTAAATGAGTTCATAGCAAAAATTAATAAAGCAAATCATAGTGTTTTTTTGGTTTTACTTTGTATTTTGTTTTTATCAGAGAAATGTTACAGTAATGATTATATTTTATTTTCTCTTAAAGTAATACATCAATAGTCAGAACATTGTGATAATGGAAGTAATTCCACTTCCCTTCCACTACAATTTTTAGTTGATATAATATTGAATAAACTATACTTTCATTAAAATTACATAGTGAATGCCCTTTTATTTATTTAATCTAGAAGAATAAAATCAACTAAAATACAATCTGCTTTTAGGCTAGATAGACATATGATACTTGTTATCAACAAATTTATCCTACTAGCTCTTCTATAACTTTCGAGTACAATATCATTTGTGGTGAATTGTGCTAGCAGGCTCTGTTTGCAAAGTCATAGTGATAAGCTGTGGTAAATTAGGTCCATTACTTAGTTAGCTGAGTCTCACTATACTACTGTCACCTCAAACCAACCATGATTTGAAAATACCTCTGATTGCAAGGTCCAGTGAACGTCCCCTTAGGGAAGTGATTTTTTTTAAAACTTCATTATGCTTGTTAATATGTACAGCCACTATGGAAAACAGTGTGGAGATTTCTTAAAAAGCTGGAAATAGAACTGCCATATGACCCAGCAATCCCACTTCTGGGCATACACACCGAGGAAACCAGATCTGAAAGAGACACGTGCACCCCAATGTTCATCGCAGCACTGTTTATAATAGCCAGGACATGGAAGCAACCTAGATGCCCATCAGCAGACGAATGGATGAGGAAGCTGTGGTACATATACACCATGGAATATTACTCAGCCATTAAAAAGAATTCATTTGAATCAGTTCTAATGAGATGGATGAAACTGGAGCCCATTAAACAGAGCGAAGTAAGCCAGAAAGATAAAGTCCATTACAGTATACTAACACATATATATGGAATTTAGAAAGATGGTAACGATAACCCTATATGCAAAACAGAAAAAGAGACTCCGATGTATAGAACAGACTTGTGGACTCTGGGAGAAGGCGAGGGTGGGATGTTTCAAGAGAACAGCATCGAAACACGTATATTATCTAGGGTGAAACAGATCACCAGCCCAGGTTGGGTGCATGAGACAAGTGCTCGGGCCTGGTGCACTGGGAAGACCCAGAGGGATCGGGTGGAGAGGGAGGTGGGAGGGGGGACCGGGATGGGGAATACATGTAAATCCATGGCTAATTCATTTCAATGTATGACAAAAACCACTGCAATGATGTAAAGTAATTAGCCTCCAACTAATAAAAATAAATGGAAAAAAAAAAAAGAAATAAATGCCAGGAATCTCCCACTGGGAAAAAAATAAAAATAAAAATAAAAACATTAACTTAAAAAAAAATAAAAAAAAAAATAAAACTTCATTATGCTTGTTAATAATTTATGTACTAAACCTGTGTTGTGTGTGTGTGTGTGTGTGTGTGTGTGTGTGTGTGTTTTAACGTAGATATGTAGATTATATTATTGATGATTTATTTCCTGACATTTGATTTTTTGTTATGGTTTCCTCAAGTATAAAACTTGTTTTATGTCTAAAGTGATTTACCTCCATTTGGGAGGTAGGTAGGTATAAAATACAGGTAGAAGGAAACATCTCAGTTTAGAACAAGGAAAACCTTATGCTATAGATTGGTATAGAATTTGCTTTACTGCTTCTGAGACTAAAAAAACTAGGTAACATATTTACAGTAGGAAAATACATATTGCTTCTAAAATATGTAGTTTGCTTTTTGGCACTTACTCATAAGCAATGAGAATAGTATTTACATTCCCTAAAGGTGTGTTACAAATTACTTACTGGATTTTCCTTTAAGCATACTAATGATATGAAGAAATATTGAAACAACTGGAGAAGTCATGCACTAATGTAGGTTTAAAGTTTTAAAAAGGATTTTAGTCAGTCATAATATTTTTATCTAAACGTTTGTTTATATGCACAGCATGATTTTGTGTTTTTAGCATTAGTGCTGTGTACAGAAGCTAGTACTAGCAGTATGAAACTGTTTTCATATAATTTTAGGACTACTTTCATTCTATACTTGGACCTGCAAACATCAAAAAAGCTATTGAAGAAGCTGAGAGACTCTCTGAAAGCCTTAAACTCAGGTATGGACACTGTTAAGAAATCTTTAGAAGAATGTATAGAAGGTAAAAATAATGTTTAGAATTTGTTCATTTATATATGACCATGCATATAAATTCCAGTTCCTGGGGAAAAAGTCTTATTCATGTGTTACCATTAACATTCTTTACTGAAAATTTTAAATGTTTAGACTGATATATTGTTAAGATAAGCATTGGTGTATTAGATTATAACTCAAGTCCAATTTTTTCTAAGTTTCTGACAGGATTCTTAAGAAAAACATAATTTTCTCATATGCTTCATGTCACAGTGACATATTGTAACACCATATGTTTCAGTTTTTAGTCATTAGTCACTCTTTAAATAACAAAATTAAAAGGGAACTATTTTTAATTCACTGTTTTTTCTCAATGGATTTTTCAATACTTAGATCAATTAATAGGACCAACCTATTATAGTTAGACAGGTTTCCCCCTGCTATCTGAAAGTAAAGTGTTGTGTGAAAACATACCTAAGCTGAAATGGCAGAGGACGAAGAAGTAATACCTCAGGAGACACCTTGTTACCAGATGCACCAAACAAGTAATGGAGGCACAGCACAGATGCTCAGACACAGTGCAGAGCCCTAACAGTTTGGTGCTGAGATGCTCCTGTCGTTCCTGGGGAAGGAGCTGGGCAGTGCCAACTCTGCCCCGGGTGTACACTGCTTCTCTAACAGCTTGCTGAAAACAACTGCTAAACACTGGTTTTTCATTTTTCACCTTTTTTCTATAAGTGAAAATCATCTTCAGATTTGTTTCAGTTAGTAAAAACAGGTGCTCAGGTAAGTCTTTTGTAAAAGTGAAGTGGCATAAAGAAAACTTTGGAAAAGCAGGGACACTTGTATACATCATAGCCTTTACTTAGACATTATCTTTTCCAGCTAATGTGTTCCCTTGGTCCTTTCCGGAATTGCTCATCTTGGGGCTAAAATATGTTAAGGTGGATGAAATAATTTAGAATCACTATTCCCTTTCTCCTTTAGCCAGTTAATCAACTAAGTAGAATTAGAGTTTCTTCTAATTTTGGGATTACCCATTATTGTTTACTCTTGGATTGCTTAGATTTCCCTAATCATACAATTAATAGCAATAATATTCTTTATTCCTCTATCTTTGGGGCTTTAGGTTCTTTCACTTATTTATTGTATGTGCTTTTGTATTTTGAGGTATTTTATAATAAGGCTTTATAGTTAGTTTTAGGATTTTAGGACTGTAAATCCTTTGAAAAGGAAATTGCAGCATATTTGAATCTTCAAAGAATTGAAATTAGTGAGAGGGAAAGAGCAAAAAGAATATTAAACAACTTCAACTTGAGAGCATAGAGTATCTTTTCAAGCTTTTAGAGCAATTTGAAATAAATCTACAGAGGGCAAATTTGTGATTTGTAACAGAGCACTGGCAGAGTTGAATTTCAGTTGAAAGAATACAGCCATAAAATATCTCAAGGTGGGGAACTGGATATGTTTTACTTCCCACCATTATGCCAGTAAAAGACATCTTGACTTCTTTTTTCAACTAGATATGAAGAAGCTGAAGTTCGGAAAAAACTTGAAGAAAAGGACAGACAGGAGAAAGAGCAGCTGCAGAAACAGAAAAAGCAGGAAGCAGAAAGAGAGGATGATGGCACATCAGATAAAAGTTCTTTGGAAAAGGTACTCGATGCCAAAGACAAAACCCAAAAGGTATTTCAGGTTTATTCTGTGAGCTAGAAAGACTGGTTCTTTTTGTCAGATGATTTTCTTAAGAAGAACTGAAATACCACTATGTCTTTTCTTTTTAGGCAATAAGGATAATATTTAATGTGTTTTCATTAGAAATTGAATTAATTCTAGCTTTAGTTGATTCCAGATTTTTTTTTTTTGATGCTTCTACAGAAATATGTTGTGTGTATTCATTAGTTTTTAGCAGTCACTATAGACTTTACTAGAGTTGTGGAAAGGGCATTTGAACTGTGATTCAGTATATCTGAGTTCAGGTCCCATATCAAGTCTTGCTTCACTGTTTTGGGACTTAGTTTGGCCAATGGAGGTCTTAAAATAGATGATCTTTAAGTCTCTCCTTTCTAATAAATGTAATTTACATCAGGGAAAGATTTGGTACACTGTGTCTTTGGTATGAAACCTTTTTTCTATTCTTATTTTTCCCCCTTTACTTTTTCTTCTTTTCTCTGTCCCCAGTTCCCCTTCCTCTTTGTCTCCTTCTGGTTCCATCTTGTTCAAAGATTACTTGTAGTCTTTTCAGCTGTGTCATTTGTTTGCCAGGAAATGTTAGTGATACCTGCCAGTTATCACTATAACTTCCTGCCTTTAACCTCCTCAGAACCTATTCTTTGTAAAATATAATTCCTTAAGCACGTTTGAAATTCATGTAAAGATTTCTAATTTAATTTTTCCTAAGCGTTTTGTAGCTTTCACCTGTATTTGTATGTGGGTAATCACTGATTTCATTAAGAAGTAGTAGTTGAATTGCTTCTGACAGTGGGCTAGGCACTATGTAAAAAGAAGTGAAGAAATCCAATCTTTTGATTTTAGGAACTCATAAGATAACTAGTACTGCTGTAGAGACATATTCATTTATAGGTCAAATGGCTAATAAAAAAAACACAGGATTCCCAGAATTATATGAAAGGAACTTTTAAACTTTGATTTTGCTGCTTTTCCAACAGCAAGGCTATCTTTCGTTACTTTTACTTTTGTTTAGCCTTTTTATATTGAAAAGAGAATACAATTAAATTCTGTTAACACAGCTTCAATAATCAACTAACGTTTGCCATGGTTTTTATCTGCCCCTCTTCTTTCTTCAATCAAATTCTGGATGACATATCATGTTACTGCTAAATATTTTAGTATGCATCTCAAAGAAAGGAACATTTTTCTTAATAACAACTGTGCTGTTTTCCTGCCTCACAAAATTAACAATAATTCTCTGATATAAATTAAAGCCTAGTATATATTTATACTTACCCACTTGTCTCATAATGATTTTTTAGAGTTGATCGGTTTGAATCAGGATCCAAACAAGGTCCACTCATTGCCTTTTGGTTGCAATGTTTCTTAAGTCTCTAAAGCATCTGTACTTGAGTCTCCTTCTCATTTTTCATTTCTTGCATTTGGCTTTTTAATACTAGATCAGTTCTATAAAATGAACCACATTATGGATTTATCTGATTACTTCCTCCTTGTGTCACATCACTTGTTCCTCTGTCTCCTGTATTTCCTGTAGGCTGGAAGTTCAACCTAAGAGCTCGCTTTAGGTTGAGGTTCATTTTTTTTTTGTTTTTGTTTTGACAAGAATGCTTCATAGGTGATACTGTGTACTTTATATTATATCATATTAGGAGGCACATAATATACTTTTTTTTTTACTTTTAGTGCTGCAAAAATAGATCTATAAGTTCTTGTGGGTCCTTAGTTTTCCCATCTGCAAAATAAGTTAGTACTTTAGAGCAGGGGTCCATAGCCTCTGGGATCTAATGTCTGATGATCTGAGTGGAAGCTGACATAGTAATAATAGAAATGAAGTACACAATAAATGTAACACACTTGAATCATCCCAAAACCATCCATACCCCCACCCTGGTCCATGGAAAAATTGTCTTCCACGAAACCAGTCCCCAGTGCCAAAAAGGTTGGGGACTACTGCCTTAGAGAATTATCCCATTTTATCTTGGTTAGGAAGTACAAATTTATAAAATTTTGTATTAATTCATTTTCCTTTAAGTCTATACTGGAGGATGTTGAAGGGAATGGAATTTTTATTTCACTATGAGAAGTGCTATCTTGTTAAGTTAAAGACTAAATTCCTCTAATAATCTGTGCTTTGAAATTATATTTTGCCTGTAACTGGAGAAGAGTTTGAGGAAATGACGTATGAATGTGATATGTTACTAGTTTTATCTGTTGTCAGAGTAGTCTGATAATGCCATTACTGTTTGTCTGTATTTTTATGAAATGCCAATACCCTGCACATTGCATTTCCTAGAAGGCTTTCAGTTTCAAAGAAGTATTAAAGTTGAACTTTTTCTTTCTGTAGAAATTTTTGTTTCTATTAAAGTTGAAACTTTTTTTTCCCCTGTGAAATAGATAAATGGTGAAAAGAGTGAAAAAAATGAGACTACAGAGAAAGGTAAGTGTGTTCAGAAAGAGGGAGTTTTTAGGTTATTATTGAGATCTTTTGATCTCGGATTTTACACAGTGAGATCTTAGCATTTTGTTTAATCTATACGTGAGCGTCTTATCATTTTTCCTGACTTGTACAATACTGAAAATGCACTATAGTTTATATCTAGATATCATAGGGGATATTTTTGGTAATATGTGTTGGAAAACATCAAAATTACAGTTGGTACTTGTCATTTTTTTTCCCCCCAAGATGTACCTTAGCATAGTGGTTAAGAGCCTGGAGTCTCAGAAGTCAGACTTATCAGGTTTGAATACACTCTTCTGAGTTTCACTTTGAGCTTATTATTTCGCCTTTCTATTTCAGTCCCCCACCCCCCATATGATGGGGATAATAATTGCATCTATTTCTTAGAGTTATTGTAAGGACTGATTGAGTTAATACATGTGATACTCTTAGAACACAATAAACTTCATATAAGTAACTGTTAGTACTTATGACTCTAAGTGGTAGACTTAATTATTCAAAGCCTTTTTCATTCCCCTCAAAAAAAGTCTGAACCAGTAATTTGGATGTTATCCATAGGTGTTGTTGATGTGCCAGTAACAAGGGTGTGACCTAAACAATAAGACTTAGTCAGTTACCTAAGTTTTCCTCTCTCTCAGAAAAGATTTAACTTCAACAGTAATTGTAACACTAAAATTATCTATTGAAAATATTGCCATACAACAGTTTAGAAAGTAAAACTGAGTGTAGTAAGGGACCTTCTTAAAAGCTGTTACCAATTCATTCTAAGATTAGTTTTTATCTACATGTTCTTTTGTATCTTACCCTGCTTAGATGTTACCCTTCTTGGTGGTTTGTTTTCACTCTTCAGACTGTTTTGATATCAAAGTGATCTTGGTGGTTAGAAACGGAAGTAAGATGGTTATTAGCAACTGGGTATTTTAGCTTTGGAGGTATCATGACTATGTTCTTCACACAGGTGAAATAGTTGTGTACATATTTAAGCCTCCTGGTAGTACTTTTCAATCTTTTACTTCAGGTGGTAGAACCTGGAAGGAAAATAGCAACATAGGGAATATTTATTTTGGCTAAATATTAAAGGGCTCAATATTAAATATTTTACGCTTGAGGAGCCCTGTGGTCCTTACATGAAAGCAGCCATAGACAATATGTAAACAAATGAGTGTAGCTGTGTTCCAGTGAAAACAGGTGACCATGGTTAACCAACCCCAGATGTGGGACACAGATAACAAAGTTTTGGCTTATTATTCTAGGAAATCTACAAGGTTTTCAGATAGCCCCCAAAAGACCCTAAGGAGACTTTTTAAAAATTTAGAACCTCTCAAGAACTTTTGATCCATAAATTTTTTTTCTGGTTGACATTTCTCAAATGACTTAATTTTTTAAACTAGAATATTTTCATGAGACACATATTATTAATATTTTATACAACAACAGAGGCAACACCAGATGTAGTTGAAATATCACCAGCAAGTTTTGGTATTTAAGTCTTTATAAACAAAGCTTTGAACTAGTTTCTTGATAAATGTCAAAAGCAAATTGTGTATAAAGTTAGTTTAAAAGGTAATAAATAATGTGATAGAACAGCAAGTATACAACACTTCCAGGAAAAACTATGCTTGTCATGTGGTCAGTGATATGATAGCACATGGAACTGGGTGTTTCTTGTCACTTATATTGTCTCTCTCAATTCCAAGGAGCAATCACAGCGAAGGAGCTATACACAATGATGATGGATAAAAACATCAGCTTGATTATAATGGATGCTCGAAGAATGCAGGATTATCTCGATTCCCATATTTCAGATTCTCTCAGTGTTCCTGAAGAAGCCATCAGTCCAGGGTGAGTCATTGTATATTTAGATAAAATGGTCAACTGTGGACAGTAGTAGATGTTGCAACTTAGCATCCATGCTGAATGTGGCAGTCTTTTCCTTTCCTGTGGTCCTTCTCATTCTTTGTTCTTCAGTGGCACACCTTACCCTTTCTGTAGGGTGGTGTAAAGGACATTCCGGTTTGGCTATTTCTTCCTGTATGTGGCATTTGGAGCCTTATTAGAAGAGGATTGAAACTGCTTTTGTATGTCTTCTTTCCCCAGGTGTTTGTTGAGTAATTTCTCCTGTTTTTTATTTTTGAGCTTGTAAATCATATCTACAAAACTGACTAAATCATAAACTAGTTGAATTTTTTTATATCTTTAAGTTCCCCGTACTATTACCTGTGGTAAGAGAGTACACAAATACTTTGTTGAAGAAGTAACAGGTTAGCTAAGTGATTAAGAAAAAAATATAGGTTCTAAAATCAGGCTGTGTTCAGACTGTATATTTCTGTCACTTATTAGCTACATTACTTCTAGCTAGTAGTCTAACCTCTGTAAGCCCATGTTTCCATCTGTGAAGCTGGGATAATAATAGTACCTATCTGAGAAGTTTTGAGAAGTTTAAATGACAGATTTTACATATGCATACATTTAGCACAGTGCCTGGCACTAGTAAGGACCTACTAATCTTTTTATTTCTTTTTTAATAAGAAAGCCTTTAACCTGTAAAAGAATTTAAAGTTACTTGCATGAATATATTGTATATTAGAAACTATTATCATAATAGTGACAGACCTAGAACTCCAGTTCCATGGCTATTTTCATTATTATGAGTGTTATAAAAATTATATAACTTCTCTAGGTCTTAGTTTATGAGACTGGATTAGTTAAAATCTATGGTGTAACTTAAAGAATCTTAAAAAGATACATTTTTAAAGTTAGGTAATAAAATTTGCACAGTTTTTAGCACATTGCCGAGGCTTATAATTGCTCAACCTGAAGAATAGAGTGCTTTGTAAACATGATATTTAAAAATGAGATTAGAAAAAAAGACAAAGGGGGAAAAAAGAAAAAAAAAATTTTAAGTAAAATAAGAATTTTTTAAAAAGGAAAAAAATGAGGTTAGAGTACATAGTCTAATCAAGTAGGTATGAATTTTTCCAGGATTTTAAAAAACAGAGTTATGATTAATCTTCGATGGTCCTACCTATACTAACAGAATGCTGCTGGCTTTTGTTGATTATCTGTTTCCCAAAATGCAAGAATTTAACTAATGTGAAACTCAAGGTGAGTTTAGGTTGAAGACTGAAGATCAATGAATTGCATACCAAGAAAATGATTACCTTTTAATTTCTGTTTCAGTCCTTCTGAATTAGTTAAAAGATGTTCCAGTTTGGTGCTAGCTTTCCTTTTTAGTATTTGTTAATATCCCCTTCTTGCCAGAGAGCAGGCCTCAGAGTTCGCTACAGGTAACAATATCTAACAGCTATCTGATGGTAAATACCTATATTACTAGTATTTTATATATACAAAACCACTTTTATCCTAAGTATTTATCCCAGTCAGTTTTCAAAAACTGAATGCATCCATTTAGCTAGCGACCACAAAACAGAACATTACCATCACTCTAGGAGCCCTCCCTTATGCTACCTGTCTGTGGCTACCCATATCCCCCATCCACCCAAGGGAACCACTAACCGGTTTGTTTTTGTAGTTTATATAAATGGAATTATACAGTCTAAAGTCTTTAATGTATGGCTTCTTGTATTTGACCTTCTGTTCGTGAGAGTCATGTATATTGTGTGCGGTTGTAATTTGTTTATCCTCATTGCTGTATGGTAATCTATTATCTGAACATAGCATAATTCACTGATCTGTTTTATTTACTTTTAGGATTATCCTTTATTTATTGGACATGATGCTGTTTTTTCATGCATATAGGAACATACACTTTCCTGTTAAAAACAATTCAAGTAAAGGTTCACTTTCAATTAAATAGTTAAAACATTACATAGTAGACAAAGGAGAGCAGAGTTGCAGCAACTTGTGAAGGGGGTACGTGAAGGACTGAAGTTTGAGGAGTACTGACTGATTTTATTGCTTTCCAAACTAGAGTTCTGAAGAACACTAAGGAGTTTTTAGATGAAGTGTATTTAGCCAAATATATCCTTAGAGTCAGAAATTGTCCTTAAGAATATCATGTTTCAGTTTTCCTCCTCCTTTGTTGACCAAGCGTCCTTTTAATCTCTAATCTTTGTATATCAAGTGAGACTTAACTATAAAACAGTATTGTATATTTCTTTTTTTCCCCTTATTTCCTAGAAGATATGGTAACCAACATTGTTATATAGGAACAGGATTTTTTTCCTCTTAAATTATCTAAACCATTTAGTTTTACTTAAAATACAAATTCCTGCCCAGTTTGCCAGTATCACCAGTGAAATACTGAAATGCCTAGGTGCTTTGCTAGGAATAATGTGGAGTTCCTTACCTGGAGGTGCAAATCGGTATTATTCATTCCATCATTTCAGCAGATATTTACTGAGCACTCATGATGGGCTGAGTTACTGTGGTTCTAAAAGCTGTGGCTAAATCACTGGACAGAAATCTTTGCTTCATGGAGCTAATATTTTAACAGGGTGATAGAATAGGTGAGACAGACAATAAACCTTAAAATGTACATCTGCGCGTGATAAGTGCTATGGAGATGATTGTGTTAAGTGTGTATGTTGGGGTGAGTATTAAACATTTTAATCCATGAAGGTTTCATGGAGAAGCTATCCCTCAGCTAACATTGAGATAAGGGAAATGAGTGACGCAGTTACCTGAGGAAAGAGGGTTCCAGACAGAGGGGACAGTAGGAGCAGAGGTGCTTTAGGCAGGAGCATACGTGCCCAAACCAGGAGTTACAAGGCAGCGAAGAGTGGAATGGAGTTGAGTGGAATAAGTTAAGCAATGATAAGAATGTTCAAGTAATAGGATTTGAGGTAGGAGCCATGCATTGGGCTCTTTAGGTAAGAATTTAAGCTTTTGTGTGAGTGAAGGAGGAAGTGAAGAACATGCTTTAGTGTAGACTTGGCATTATTCACAGATAATGATGTAGTAGGCAGCACAGCAGAAGAGCTGAGTGTACACATGAGCTAGCGGCAACTGTAACCTGGATACTTAACCCCTTTGCGCCTCAGTTTCCCCATCTATAAGGATAATAATGCCTATTTTATAGGAGTATAGTGAGGATCTAGGGAGGATCAGTGAGAATAAAACCTTTAGAATAGCACCTGGCGCATAGTAAATGCTGTACGTGTTTGTTAAATAAGCATTTTGGTATTTGGTTACTTATTAATTATCTGTATAGGTATAAGAGAACTGAAATATAAAAGTTTATCCCTTCTCCCCCATTATTTATATTTGACTGAGATGTATTCAGATGAGTTCCTATGTTTTCATTTTTTGCCCCCCATCCCTTTTTCTAATATTAAGGGTCAAGTGAGTCTGTTTCTTTCAGTCTCTAATAATTACTAAAATATATTTTAATATTATGCATTAGTGAAGGTGTTAAACATTTTAGGCTATTCTTAACATATAGTCTGACCTTAGAAAGGAAACTGCCTTAAAGTTTGCTATGATATGGGAAGTTCCCTGGCGGTCCAGTGGTTAGGACTCTGCTCTTATTGCCAAGGACTTTGGGTTCAGTCCCTGGTTGGGGAATGAAAATCCCAGAAGCCCCATGACATAGCCAAAAAAAAAAGAAAAAACATTTGCTATGGTATGATAAAGACTGTAGAACAAAACTCAGTGTCTTATAATAGTATATTAGGACCTCTCATCTACTTTCGCCCCAATACAAATGTTAATACATTTCAGAGTCACTGCTAGTTGGATTGAAGCAAACCTTCCAGATGATTCTAAAGACACATGGAAGAAGAGGGGGAGTGTGGATTATGTGGTCCTTCTTGACTGGTTTAGTTCTGCAAAAGATTTACAACTTGGGACAACTCTACGGAGTCTGAAAGATGCACTTTTCAAGGTTAGCAAGTTTCATTGTTAGTTTACTGTAATTGCAAGCTTTCTCTGGTTGTTAGAAAGGTATGTTGACTAGTTGATTATCTTAAGGACATGAAGATCCATCATGCTTTGGTTGTAGACTTTTAAGAAATTCAGATTTAAAAGACTAGTTTTGCATCACCCAATAACATTAAAATGATCTTAATAGTAGGATAATTAGAACGTTCAGAAATTAAATTATCTGGAAAATGCTGTTTTTGTTATGAAACATAAAGGAAGAAATCACTAAGGAAAAAAGACTGATAGATATGACAATAAAATAAAAACTTAGGTGTGAAAAAATGTACCGGATTTGAAGGCAGAAGGCAAAAATATTTGCAACAGATATGGCACTGATTTAGAACACCTAAAATCTGAAGAGTTTTTGCAAATAAATAAGAAAATTACTTAAGATAAATGTTGATGTAAGTAGTAGACACAGACATAAACAGAAGATATGAAAGTGACAAAAACATAAAAATATCAACGTAACTAGTAATCAGAAATGCAAATTCAAACAGGTAATGTCACTGTTGTGAACAGATTAAGAAAGATAAAAATAATACTCAGTTTAATATGTTAAATTATTAAACAATAATAGCACTAAATGCTGGTGAGCATGTGGTAAGAATAAAACTCAGTGTGCTGGTAGGAGGGTCAGTTGATGGAATGTTGTCCTCCAGGAGAGCAGTCTTAAAAGCCTTGAGACAATCATGCTTCAAAGTAGGAAATCACAGAATATACCCACGTGTAGGCTGATATATGAAATTGCCAGTATTCACCTAGTTTTCACTAAAAAAGTGACAGTTTCATAAAGATAAGGCTAAGGTACCTGTAAGTTTAGTGCATGTAAAGATGATATAACAGATCAGTGAGGAAAAGATGAACTGAAATAACTGGTTTGAGGACAGCTGGATAGCCAGTAAGTAAAAGAAAGGATCTCTGCCTTATTTCTTAGACCATACTAGATTCCAAGTGGGTAAAAGACATAAATATGTTGATTGAAACAATGAACTACCAGGAAAAACCATTGATAAATGTTTTTATTACCTTGATCCTGAACCAAAGAGGCTCATATATTTGACTGTACTGAAAATACCACAAATAAAAAGTCAGGGAAAATATTTGTAATAAGACAAAAACTTATTTTCCTTAATACTCAGAGTACATTCACTAAGAAAAATAGCAATCTGTAGAAGAATGGGCAAAAGATGAGATTAAGGTAAGCCATAAAGGGTTAAATAAATGTATTAAAAGATGTTAAACTTCACATATAAGTGCTAATACAACTCATTTTATGTCCACCAGTTTGGTAAAAATTATAAGGACTTATAATGGGCATTCTCATATACTGATGGTAAATGTGTAAATTGGCATTGTCTTTTGAAGGGCAGTTTGATGGCATCTTTTAAGCTAACGGTTTTAGGAAATTATTGTACAGAAATACACAAACATAATTTTAAAAGTTCATTTCAAAGATTAGCAATATATATTAAAAGCCTTAAAATGTTATTGGCCTACCCTCTCCACTTCTGGGAACTTTTGCTAATGGAGTCAATTAGGTATATGTATAGGATCTTTAGTATTTATCTTAGCATTTTTTATAATTAAATAGGAAAAATAATAATTGTTGAAACGATTGATTCAGTTTTGGTGTGTGTGTGTGTATATGTGTCTGTATAAAATAGAATCTTATCTGGTCATTACAGATGATGATATAGCTCTGTGGATAACAGATGATCATATAAAAGAAAAGCAGTATAAGTTTCATTATTTTATTAAAAATGAAAAAGTATATATAGAAAACAGTAAGAATAAAATGTTGGAGTGTTATTTCTGGATGATAAGGGGTTATATTATAGAAGATTTTTATTGTATGTTAAGTTGTGTTCTTATTTTTCTTCTAAGATTATGGATTACTTGTGTGATTTTAAAAACCTGATCTAAAAAAAAAAACCTGATCTATCCATTTGTTTCATTAAATGCTGAATTTTGAATTCAGCTGTCGCTTAATATTCAGGTTTGTTGTGTTTTTAGCTGTCAAGAGACTGCTGCCATATTAATAAACATAGTATTTCCTTATTTTATAGTGGGAAAGTAAAGCTGTCCTGCACAATGAACCTTTGGTTTTAGAAGGAGGCTATGAAAACTGGCTCCTTTGTTATCCACAGTATACAACAAATGCTAAAGTTACACCACCCCCACGAGGCAAGAATGAAGAGGTGTCTGTCTCATGTATGTATGTGAAAATTTTTGTTTAAAATTGCTTTGGTAAAATTTTAAATTTTTTCTGTTCTCAGGCTAGTGTTCTTGGTTGTGTGTGCATTTGTCCTGTTAGATAGCAGTTTGCTTTTAGGCATAAAAAATACAAGATGTCCACAGTCTAAAAGTTAATGTTTATCAATTCATTAAGACTGTTGGGGTTGTCACTGCTTACTTTATGTTTAACTATGACATAGAACATGCATGAGACATGAAATACTGTTTTTGGGGTTTGCTCTTCTTTCAAGAATATATTTATCTTTTGGGGATTTTAGTGGACTTTACTTACCCTTCACTGGAAGACTCAGTTCCTTCTAAACCTACTGCCCAGATGATACCTCCTATAGAAATCAGTGAAAATACAGAATTGATAAACAGTCAAAATGAGAGAATGGGACCACTGAATATATCAGCTCCAGTTGAACCAATTGCTGCTTCTAAATCTGATGTCTCACCCATAATTCAGCCAGTGCCTATTTTAAAGAATATTCCACAGGTAAGTGTTTGGTTTTCTTTTAACTTTTATTATGTCTTTTCTTTTAATATTATATTCAGTATATAGTATAGAAATGTGTATCTAGTGTATATATACCTTCAGTATTTTAGAAAGAAAAATATTGAAAAAATCTATATTCCTCTATTTTTGGTATATTGGTACATTTTTGCCTTTAAAAGAAACTTCATTGTAATTGTCTCACTGCCACAGCAATGTCAGAATAGATAACTGAAAGGGTTTTAAACCCAACTGGGTCCATTTAGTATAGGCAGTACTAACAGAAGACAGTATTAGCACAATGAACTTGAATAACACTTGCAGGTGTTTATTATAAATTTAATTCATAGTATTTTTCCAGATAGTTTGGCTTACAGATGATAGATATATGATGTCAGTATTTTGGTTTTGAAATAGTTCTTTAGTTTGATTTCCTTAGACTTTGACACATAAATAATAGGCATATTTTAACAATAATTGTTTAAAAGAGCTTACATAGGGGCTTTCCTGGTGGGCCAATGGTTAAGATTCCACCTTCCAATGCAAGAGCTTACATAAAATATGTTATAATAAAAAATTATAACATCTTTCTTGTCATTAGATTTTACTTGAAGGTAAACTAATTCTTTCCTGTGCATTTTCCAGTAAGATTTTTTTTAGCATTTTTAATTTTTTTCTCAGATATTTAAATAATATTTCATATTTGATGTAGGTAACATCTGGTTTGTGGAGCAGGCTCTGATTAGAAAATTCAGTCATTTTGTGGGGATATAAAATAAAGCCATTCATTTCCTCATTTTTTAAAGCCTACTTTTAATATTTCTGATTAAATCTTAAGACTAATTATTTGAATAATTTTTTCTTAAAATGAAAATTTAAGAAATTTTAAAAAGAGCTATGACATTGCACTTCCTTTCAATTTAATCAGCATGTTATTTAAACCATAATCCCTGTGTGACTTTCTGAGATATGTACAATTTATGAATTGTACCTTGATAAACATGTACTATTTAATACAATCAATAATATGTATCAATAAATATGTACTGTTTAATAGTCACTGGAGCACACACACATCAAGAAGAGAAGTTCTGACTGAAAGTGGGTATTATCAGGGAGGTCTTCATGGAGGAGGTAGTATTGTTATCTGGGCTTTAGGAGTGGAGTAGGATTTAAGGATGAAGGAAACAAGTGGAAAAATTGTATGACTAAAGGCACAAAGCATGTTCTGGGATTGGTAAGTAGTTCCGACAGGTTTGGGCACAGCTCTCGTACAGAGGTGAGTGTGATGATAGATAAGATTGGAAAAGTGGACAGAGGTAATCAAGAGAGACTTTGATCTCTCTTGGAATTTTGTCCTGTAGGTGAAAGAAAATCGTTAAAGAATTTTAAACTTGAAAGTAACATGGTCATAGCTATGTTTTTAAGATGAGTGGAAAATGTGGATGAAAACATTTATTTTGACCCCTGTTCACCTTTTATTGTTAACCTGATCCTCATAGTGTTTATTCTGACTTTATTCACAAATAAATTTAGAAAAGGGTGGGGGAAGGGAAGGTTTAAGTGAAGAGGCAAAAAGAGAAGAGCAGAGGAATGATTCCTTCTTGTGGTAGTGTTTTCTAATGGGAAAAACATACAGTTCATTTTGTAGGAACACTATACAGGTTGTTACTGGCAGACATTCTCATTTTTATTTCCGTGAATGTCTCAAGAAACGATGTTAGGGTCATTTTTAACAATTTTGTAGGGTTAGTATGTTGTTAAATTGAGGTAATTACTCAATTTTAATTAGTATCTTATCTCTTATGAAAGTTGTTCTGGAATATTTTATTCATTCTGTCTGCAACATTTTATTTACTGTCAGGCACAGTCTCTACCCTCCTGGAGCTTATGTGCTAATAGGGAAGAAGATTTTAAACAATTACAGTTGTTTAATAAGAATCCCAGTAGGTACTAAGAGGGAAAAGAATAGAGTATTATGAGAGCATACATCAAGAGGCTTATTAGCTGGTCCTCAGGGATCAGGGAAGTCTTTTCTAAGGGAGAAATATTTAAGCTAAAACTTAATGTTGTGGGCATTATCTAGCTGAACAGCTAGTATAAAGGCCTGACTTGGGAAGAAGCATGTCATCTTTGAGGAATTAAAGATAGGGGCAGGGTAAGTATGGCTGGTGTATCAAGTGGTATGAGATAAGATTGGGGAGATAGGCAGAAGGGAGACCACACAGGCATGGCAAGACTTTTAGATGTAATCTAAGTACAATGAGTGGTTATTGAAAGTAAGTGATCAGATTTATGTTTTAAAATGATTACTCTGGTAACAGAATGGAGAAACAAATTTGAAATATCTGAAACTCTGAGTTTTTTGATTTAAGCAACACATAGTGGGCACACCCATGTGTTTGTTGGGGGAAATCATGAATTCAGTTTTGGCCATATTAGGTTTGTGGTATATGTGAGATACTCATGTGACGACACTGAATAAGCAGTTGGGTATGTGGAAATGGAACTTCAGGGGTGCTCAGGTCTGGTTTTCTTATGTTATAGAATGAAATCTTCATACATGGAACATATCAGAGTATTGAAAGTGTAGAATCAAGAGGATGTAAGTGCTAAGTGCCTTATGAGAAATCTAGACATTAGGTCATTTACAAATAGATGTTTTGGCAGATGTCTCCAGAGAGTGATGGCTCTTTTTATCACAACTGGATATCAAGAACTGAGTTTATTGTGTTCCTGGATTTCAACAAAAGGATGGTTTTCTCTGTATTTGTTGATACAGATTGATCGTACTAAGAAACCGGCAATCAAATTGCCTGAAGATCATAGAATAAAATCTGAAAGTACAGATCATGAGGAACAGTCTCCTCAGAGTGAAAAAGTTGTTCCTGATCGTTCCACAAAACCGGTATTTCCCCCTCCAACTGCCATGTTAACAGATGAAGAAAAAGCTCGTATTCATGCAGAAACTGCTCTTCTAATGGAAAAAAACAAACAAGAAAAAGAACTTAGAGAAAGGCAGCAAGAGGAGCAAAAAGAGAGACTGAGGAGGGAAGAACAAGAACAAAAAGACAGAAAGGAACAAGAAGCTGAAGAAAATGAAATCACAGAGAAGCAACAAAAAGCAGAACAAATGGAGAGGAAAGAAAGTGAACAGGCCAGGAAAGAAGATAAAGAAACTTCAGCAAAGAGGGGCAGAGAAATAACAGGAATAAAAAGACAAAGTAAAAGTGAACATGAGACTACTGATGCCAAGAAATCTGTAGAAGATAGGGGGAAAAGGTGTCCAACCCCAGAAGTGCAGAAGAGGTCAACAGGAGATGTGCCTCATGCCTCTGTGGCAGGAGATTCAAGTTCAGGCAAGGTAAGCAGAAACAGTACAAATTGCTAACTAAGTGTAAAGAAATGTACATAAAAAGTGACGCCAGTAGCATTCCATAAACAGGGTAGACATTTCAACTGATTTTCTAGTAGATGATAGGTTTGTACTGATCCAATTACATTTGCTTACTTGCTCTTGATTGGTTGGGACTGGAATTGCTTTTCACATCTATGGAATGCAATATATTTTTGCTAATGGAGATAAATAGCTACAGTCTTCATTTTTATGCTTGATGTGTGATCATCAAAAGACTAGAGTGAAATATAATCTTCTGATCTCACAATGGAGGAATTAGGTGCCAAATATTTATATGATGAAGTTTGTGTCTGCTTAGAATATGGCCAGTTTATCTTTGTGTGTAATGGTTTTATTTGTCAAGTCTATGTCATTTGTTTGTTTGTTCATCTGATCAAAAATACTGGCAGTAATCCCATTAATGTTGCGTTTTCCTACCCTTGGCTGTTACTCTTCATTGATTTTCATAATTTTGGAGGAGATTTTTTTCTTTTCTTTTTGGCTGCCCCACACGACTTGCAGGATTTCAGTTCCCCAACCAGGGACTGAACCTGGGCTTCAGCAATGAAAGTGCCAAATCGTAACTGCTAGACACTAGGGCGCTCCACTTTGTCTTTGTATTGGGATATAGCCAATTAGTAAACAGTGCTATGATGGTTTCAGTTGACTAGCAAAGGGATTCAGCCCTACCAGAAAAGATTTTTTTTAACCTAATAATATCATGTGTGCTTTTCATGGGCCTTTTTTTTTTTTGGTCTATTATGCAATTAACAGTGCCTTTTCCTTTTGAACACTAAGTGTTTTGGGCTTTTAAAAATCCTACTTTGTTCTTATTTTTTTCCTTCCAGTTTTATTGAGATATAATTGACATACAGCACTATATAAGTTTAAGATGTACAATATAATGATTGTATCTCATGAAAATACAAAATTTAAAAGAGTAAAAAAATAAATTGTGATAAGAACTCTTAGGATTTACTTTCTTAACAACTATCATATGTAACATACAGCAGCATTAATTAGTCATGTTGTACCTTATATCCCTGGTACGTACTTATAACTGGAAGTTCGTTCGACTGCCTTCCTCCAATTTCCTGTTCCTACCTTCCACCTCTGATAACCACAAGTCTGATCCTTTTTCCTATGTGTTTGTATTTTGAAGTATAAATGACTTACAATACTATGTTAGTTCCTGTTACACAACATAGCTATTTGGTGTTTCTATACATTTCCAAATGATCACCATAGTAAGTCTAGTTATACTGTGTCATTATACAAGGATACACAGCTATTGACTATACTCCCACAATGTATATTTCATCCCTGTGACTCACTTATTTTGCAACTGAAAGTTTGTACCTCTTAATTTTCCTCATCTATTTCTTTTCCTCCCTGCCTGCCCCCCACCCCCCTTGCCTTTGGTAGTAACCACTTGTTTGTTCTCATATCTATAACTGTTTCTGTTTTGTATTGTTCATTTGTTTTTTAGATTCTGCATGTAAGTGAAATCATGTATTTGTCTTTTGGGGCTGACTTTTTTCATTTAGCATAATACTCTCTAGATCCATCCATGTTGTCACAAATGACAAAATTTCATTCTTTTTTATGGCTAATATTCCATTGTGTATAGATACTGTACTTCATCTCTATCCATTCATCTATTTATGGGCATCTGGGTTACTTCCATATTTGGGGCTATTGTAAATAATGATGTAATGAACATAGGGGTACATATATCTTTTCTAATCAGTGTTTTTTGTTTCTTTGGATAAATAACCAGGAGTAGAATTGCTGGATCATATGGTAGTTCTATTTAAAATTTTTTTTTAACAATCTCCATACTGTTTTCCATAGTGACTGCACCAATTTACATTCCCATCAACAGTGTTGTACTAAGGAACAGTGTTGTTCCTTTTTCTTCACATTTGCCAACACTTGTTATATGTTGTCTTTTTGATAATAGCCATTCTGATGGGTGTGAGGTGTTATCTCATTGTGGTTTTGATGCTTTTCCCTGGTGAACAGTGATGTTGACCATCTTTTCATGTGCCTGTTGGCCATATGTCTTTAGATCCATATGTCTATTCAGATCCTGTGCCCATTTTTAAATCGAATTTTTGTTTCTGTGATGCTGAGTTGTATGACTTCTTTGTATAATTTGGACATTAATCCCTTATCAGATATATAATTTGCAAATATCTTCTCCCATCAATAGGTGGCCTTTTCATTTTGTTGGTAGTTTCCTTGTCTGTACAAAAAGCTTTTTAATTTGATGTAGTCCCACTTTTCTGTCTTTGCTTTTGTTACCTTTGCCTGAGAAGACATATGCCAAAAATTATTACTAAGACGAATGTCAAAGAGTGTTTCTCCATTGTTTTCTTCTAGTTTTATGGTTTCAGGTTTTACATTTAAGTCTTTACTCCATTTTTAATTTATTTTTGTGTATGTATGAGAAGAAAGTCTAGTTTGATTCTTTTGCATGTAGCTGTCCAGTTTTTCCAACACCATGTTTTAAAAATCTTTTTGGGTTTTTTGGTTGTTTTACGTCTTCTCTCTTGGCTTTTTTGTTTTTGTTTGTTTCTGGCTGCTTCATGCAGCTTGCAGGATCTGTTTCCCGACCAGGGATTGAACCTGGGCCATGGCAGTGAAAGTGTTGAATCCTAACCACTGAACCACCAGGGAACTCCTGGTTTGTTTTTAAAATTAATAAAATGTCAGTGCTCTTCCACATGTTGAAATTTAGAATGCCTACATATTTTGAATTATTTTGTTCAATGAAAAGAGATATGGAAAAAATTATATGCTTGCCTATATAGCTTAAAAGTGTGATGCATCTTTAACACCATTCATTGAAGAGGTTGACTTTTCTTCATTGTATAATCCTCACTGTGTGGATATACCACATTTGATGGACACTGGATTGCTTCTCCTTTGGGGCTATTATGATTAATAATTCTGTGAACATTTGCGTCCAAGTCTTTGTGTGGAAATAAATTTTCTTATCTTTGGAGTTGACAGAAGTGAAATTGTCTTTGTGGTGGTTTTTTAGAGAAACTTTAAAAAGCCACCATCTTTATAGGCTATGCACACACACTCCTTCCTCTTGCTGTGATAATTTTAGGACTTTAAGAAAACATGTATAGTTCTTCATCTTTTAAAAAATATTAAGGGCAGCCAACACAAGGTTTGTGGTTCTTTGCTAGGGCAAAATTTAATTTAAAAATCCTTTTCTTTTTCCTTCTCTTTTTAAAACTAGTCTCGAGAGCCTTTGACAAGAGCAAGAAGTGAAGAAATGGGGAGGGTTGTACCAGGACTGCCGTCAGGCTGGGCCAAGGTAAAACTCCAAATTAGCACAGAAAGAAATTACAAGGCGCTATCTTTTTTAAAAACTTATGAACTTGTTTATTCTGCATCTTCTCTAACGCAGAGATGACTCTGTTTCTTCATTATAAAGGACGTAACTCATTTCCCTAATTACAGCATGGTTAGATTTCTCGATAGCCAGTCGGGTTTGCTGGCTGTAATATATGAACATCCTGGCATGTCATTTAAAAACAGTCTATCACTTTAAAACTTAAGGCTCTTTGAAAGTTTAATTATAGAAGTGATTATCACCATTTTATTCACATTATTTTAATCCAAAAGTAAACTTAGTGGAACACTTCTGAGTTACTTGTTGTTGTCCACTGAATGTTCATTGTTTTTTGACCTGTGCTTTTTTCCCCCCTGCTTAAGTTTCTTGATCCCATCACTGGAACTTTTCGTTACTATCATTCGCCTACCAACACTGTTCATATGTATCCACCGGAAATGGCTCCTTCATCCGCACCTCCTTCCACCCCTCCAACTCATAAAGCCAAGCCACAGATTCCTGCTGAGCGGGATAGGGAACCATCTAAACTGAAGCGCTCCTACTCCTCCCCAGATATCACCCAGGCCATTCAAGAGGAAGAGAAGAGGAGGCCAACAGTAACTCCAGCAGTTAATCGGGAGAACAAGTAAGTTTATCCTAACTTCTAGAAACAGAATCATTTGCTGTATTTGAAAACTTCTAAACATACCAGTTAACTAATATCACGGAAACAGAAAATTCTGTGGATGGCTATCCCAGCCGTTTTTGTTTACTATAGAGGAAAAAAAATAAATGGATTAAATGTGCTTGGTTTTTCTGCGAAGTGTCACAGACTAACTTACACCTGTCAAAAAGGATTCTGTGATTTGTTCACTAATTCATATGTATTAATGTAGATATAAAAGTATGCACCTTGTTATATTTTCAGACAGTGTGAGACTACATAGATGTTTTTTACAAATTTCGTATGATCCCTAAATTTCCCTTTGAGGACTATAATTTATAGGATTGTTGAATATGTCTTGTTGTAGCTCTTAAATTCCAAACTTTTTTTAAAAAAACTCAGTAACATGGGGGCAAACTTAATATAATGTTTTAAAATAATAAGCATTATAGTGTGTATCAGCTCCTAATCCTTATTCTGTTCCCTTTTCTTCATTGCATTTCTGTTCCTCTCTTCACCAGTGGTGATGAATAGGTTCATTTAGGTTTTCCCATAACAGTATCTCATTTAGATGTATTCCTGGCTTTATCTGTTATTGAATACTCTAATGCTCCTGGCTTATGATTGATAGGTTTATGATATAGTTTTCTAGTCTCTTTGTCACTTCTGATCATTAATTTTGGGGGATGTAGGGTAGATGGAGGTGAAAATAAATGGGATTTTTTGATTTGTTAAATACACTCTCTTAATTGCTGAGGAATTCTAACTAGGCTGTCTTTTTGGCCTCTTCAGAATCACTTCCTCCAAAAGTAGTTAATATATTTTTCTCTTAAGAATCTACCCTGACAGATGGAAGCTTAACTGGAGGAGATTTTGTAAATTCTGTAAATCTATAGATTTCAGGGCTCACTATTAAAACTGGTAAGAATTTAATTCTTTCTTGACTCATCATTCTTAAAGTTTGTTAATTTGACAATTTAAAAAACTACAGCATACGTAGTTTGTATATTTTTAAATATATATTGAACAGAGTGCATACACCTGAGCCCTGTGTAAACAAAAACTGGTTGGAATGTAATGTTTAATCTCTTCTCAGTATTCCTTTCAGAGGTGGAGATATACTTAGGATCAGTAATAAAGGAAAGACTTACCAATTAGGAGTTTTCTTAATGTCCTTACAATTCTAAAAGTTACATATATAAATCAAATACAGTGCATGACAAAAGTCTCATAGGCATTCGCTAGTTCAGTGCTGTCCAGTGGCCATGTTGGTAGACATGTTCTTTATTGGTAGTGGCTATTTTGAATTGTGGCTAGTATAAGAGCTATAAAATTTTAAATTTATCCAGTATGTCCAGTATGGTAGTGGCTATTTTGAATTGTGGCTAGTATAAGTGCTATAAAATTTTAAATTTACTGTGGCTAGTGGCTGCTACCATATTTGTCAGCACAGTTCTAGACTTCAGGAGACTTCTGCCTCCTGTATGTGCTTCGCAGTTATTTGGCATTCTGGTTGAATTCAACATTTGGTAATGCTAAACTTCCTGGGATCATTTAAAAACATTTCAAAGAGCCTTCTCCATCAGAACACTCTACCTGTTCATGAGAAACCAGAGAATCTACTGATATCTCAGGGAATCTGTAAGAAACATGTCTCACGTAAGAAGTTAAAGACCTTCATGGGAGGGTCACCAGTGTCACTTAGATACTAAATGTTCTCTAAGACTCAGTACCTTATGACCTAACTTAGTAACCATTTGCAGCATTACCATATACCATGGTACAGATGCTGGAGTTTGCTGCCCTTTGAGCTGTGAACCTTCATGTCAGATGCCCTGCATTTTAAGATGTCATGTGCACTTTTTCTTCCTTAGGCCAACAAGCTATCCTAAAGCTGAGATCACAAGGCTTTCTGCTTCTCAAATTCGGAACCTCAATCCTGTTTTTGGAGGATCTGGACCAGCTCTCACTGGACTTCGTAATTTAGGAAATACTTGTTACATGAACTCAATACTACAGTGCCTGTGTAATACGCCACATCTGGCTGATTATTTCAACCGCAACTGTTACCAGGATGATATTAATAGGTAAAGAAATATCATACTTTTCTGCAATATCATATTAAAAGGGTGATCTAACCACACTTCCTTACCACCCAGCTCCAGAGATGTCAAATTAGGAAACAGCAATGTAGAGAACATTGTTCTTAAGAAAAAGGTAAAGAAAAGCCTTCTCTGATTGGTGAAGGACAGACAGGAAAGGAACAGTGCAGGAAGGCAGAAGCTCACTGTCATAAATTGGAGCCTACTGGTAAGGAATAGGAGACCGTGGAGGGCTGGTAGCCAGAAAGAAGCAAGATGGAGGGGTGTCATCAAAATAAGATTCAGGTAAGTATTTGGTGATAAACCTATGAATAAGTATTTTAGTGTAGGGTCACATATTACAGTATGTGAATAGTTTAATGTTGCTATCAAGAACCTGCTATATCTTAGCTTTTTATAATTTTTTTGTAACTTTAATTATGTTTGCAAAGGTCAAATTTGTTGGGACATAAAGGTGAAGTGGCGGAAGAATTTGGCATAATCATGAAAGCCCTGTGGACAGGACAGTACCGGTACATCAGTCCAAAAGACTTTAAAATCACCATTGGGAAGATCAATGACCAGTTTGCAGGATACAGCCAGCAAGATTCACAAGAACTGCTTCTGTTCCTAATGGATGGTCTCCATGAAGATCTTAATAAAGTAAGAAATTGTATTTTTCTAAGTTGCAAAGGATCTTTAGGGTTACTCAGTGTTGTACTCATTTTTATAGCAATTTAAAGTTATAGTTGTTGATTGTTCAGTGCTAAATTTATTCAAATCTAGGGACTTTGGCATGACACTTTAAAATAAGTACATCTGATAGGTTTACTATTTGAATGGAAGTATATACAATTTGTATTTACGTGTGAAAATGTTAACAGGCTGTAAATTGTGAGGAATTTATAAACATTGTAAATTTGTAAACACAGTTGTCAGAGATCATGTGTTTGTGACCCATATGACCAAATGATTCATGTGAAAAGTTACTGTTCTTTGTATACAGTGACATCTTTTTAGCACCAAGCTCTCCCCTCTTTCAAATACTTTTGCTATCACCTTTCTTACCAGCGAACATAGACATACACATATAGACACACATATATGTGTATATGTATGTGTGTGAATATGAGTGTTGTTGTGTGTCTGTATGTGTATATGTGTATGAAGATAGTGTGTATCCATCCATGAGACTAGGACCAAAAAAATGACATCCAGTTGTAGCCCTAACTCCCAGCTGTATGTGGAATGTCTTCTCTTTTCAAAATCAGACTTTTCAGTTTTTTAAATATAAATTTATTAAGAAATTGAAACTAGTTAAACCCTTTTGATAAAGTGGGTTTTGGTTTTGGGGGGAGTTTTTTTGATTAGAATTTTTTTGTAGCATCAAATTTTTTGATTAGAACTCCATTAATAAGTATTTCTAAATCTGCAAGATTAAATATACTCTTACCATATGACCCAGCAATCACTAAAAAAAAAATAAATAAAAAATCTGCAAGATTTATATTGAATATACTTTCAATTTTATATTTAAATGTTGACTTTGAGATATTAATACAGAGTTTAAATCTTATTTTCAGGCTGATAATCGGAAGAGACATAAAGAAGAAAATAATGATCATCTTGATGACTTTAAAGCTGCAGAACATGCATGGCAGAAACACAAGCAGCTCAATGAATCTATCATTGTTGCACTTTTTCAGGGTCAATTCAAATCCACAGTACAGTGCCTCACCTGTCACAAAAAGTCTAGGACATTTGAGGCCTTCATGTATTTGTCTCTCCCACTAGCATCTACAAGTAAATGTACATTACAGGTAAATTAAGATTGAGAGAAAAAGATTTATTGAAGGAAAAAAATTTTTATATGCACATAGAGTTGTACTTTACTTGGTAATTTATTTCTGCTCTTTATCCCTATAAACATTTTATAGGGTAAAACTCACAAAAAAAACTTTTAATTAGGCCTATGCAGATTAGAAGAAAGCGTGCATTTTTAAAAGAAATTTCCCTTTTTAAAAAATATTTTCCTATTAAATATTCTTTTAGAATTGATAATGTTTTTCAAAGTCTGTATTGAAGTTTAATGTTGACTTTAATTCAGGTACACTTTTTATAAGAAATTGCTCTACATGAGGTAACAAGTAAATATCCTGTTTTGCACACAACAGCAGTGTGATTTAGAGAGCTTGTTGACACTTTCAGTGTTAGCCTCTTGTTAGTCAGAACATCCTGAGCCACCAGGTAAAAGCTGCCCCTTGATGCTCTCAGGACATGCAGACGTCTTCCCTCCTCGGTGGGCACAGCACCATCACCCTCCACACTTTGTCCCTATCACCCCCTCCCATCTGCTTCCTCAGTAGATCCTAACTCTGGAGTTGGGGGGTTGGGGTGGGGGTGGGAGAGCAGGAGCTGCTTTGTAAATAGTTTATTCCTCATGCCTGACAAAGTAACTTATTGAATAGATGCTCAGTAATAAAAAAATAAGCTAACAAGTATCTACTACTTATTTTTGCCTCCAGGATTGCCTTAGGTTATTTTCCAAAGAAGAAAAACTCACAGATAACAACAGGTTTTACTGCAGTCATTGCAGAGCTCGTCGGGATTCCCTAAAAAAGATAGAAATCTGGAAGCTGCCACCTGTGCTTTTAGTGCATCTGAAACGGTAAAAGGGACACATTTTTCTACCTGTTTAGTACTTTTTAGAGGAAAGATTTCTATGTATTTTACTCTAAACTTTATTGTGCTGTCTGCTTAGGATGTATAACAAAGAAAGATTATCAGGTTAGGGTACTTCTAGGGCAATTAGCAGAGAAGGCAGTGACACCCCACTCCAGTACTCCTGCCTGGAAAATCCCATGGACGGAGGAGCCTGGTAGGCTACAGTCCATGGGGTCGCTAAAAGTCAGACACGACTGAGCGACTTCACTTTCACTTTTCACTTTCATGCATTGGAGAAGGAAATGGCAACGCATTCCAGTGTTCTTGCCTGGAGAATCCCAGGGACCAGGGAGCCTGGTGGGCTGCCGTCTATGGGATCGCAGAGTTGGACACGACTGAATCGACTTAGCAGCAGCAGAGAAATTAGGCAGAAATGAAGAGGCTCTAGTTGACTTTAGTGTTTGCAATAACAGGGCAAAATGACAGCACCACTTTTTCGTGTAACTCTGTCTTTAAAAATCACTGAAACTGGGGAGGGAGGGATAGATTGGGAGTTTGAGATTGACACATACACACTGCTGTGTTTCAAAGAGATAACCAACCTACTGTATAGCACAGGGAACACTGTTCAGTATTCTGTGATAACCTAAATGGGAAAAGAATTTGAAAAACAATAGATACAAGTAAACTGAGTCACTTTGCTGTACACCTGAAACTAACACAACATTGTTAATCAATGATATTCCAATATAAAATAAAAATCTTTCACAAATCAGTGAAACAAAATTATTTTCAAATTATTGGAGATTCTTAGCCAGTTATTTATGTTAATTTCAACACTGATATATTCAGATTTCTTATGTAGATTTTCTACAAAAACTTATTAGTTGTCCTTTTCTGCTTGTTGCAGATTGCAAAGTTATAGATAAACATTCTACAAATGATTACACATTTGTTAAGATTTTTAGTGCTGTGTATTATTCTTGGAGAATATCTTAAAGTATAAGTGGTTCAGAGTTCACTCTTTAAAAAATAATTTTGAAATAACCATATTACACCAACCAGTATTTTGGTGTTAAAAGAAGCAGTGTTAGGATAATGGAATGCCATTATTTCAGTCACTAGGCTGTGTGCATGCAGTTTCTGGCTCTAGTTTTTTCAAGTTCAGTTCAGTTGCTCAGTTGTGTCCAACTCTTTGTGACCCCATGAACTGCAGCATGCCAGGCCTCCCTGTCCATCACCAACTCCTGGAGTTTACCCAAACTCATGTCCATCGATTCAACGATGCCATCCAACCATCTCATCCTCTGTCGTCCCCTTCTCCTCCTGTCCCCAATCCTTCCCAGCATTAGGGTCTTTTCCAATGAGTCAGCTCTTCCCATCAGGTGGCCAAAGTATTGGAGTTTCAGCTTCAACATCAGCCCATCCAATGAACACCCAGGAATGATCTCCTTTAGGATGGACTGGTTGGATTTCAAACCAGAGTGGACTGGAGCCACTGTCTTCTGTTATTTCTCGGTACTTTGTGGTGATCAGCATTATAAATGGGGGTGTTAATAACTTCTTAGCTTTGTCAAAGACTCATCTAATGGCTCTAGCTGGTCTAGGGATTAAGGCACCAAGGTGTGGCTCTGTCTCTATCACTCTTTTTACCTGGGGCAAGACATTTATGTGCCTCAGTTTCATTTGTAAAACAGAAATGAAACTAAGTATTTTTAGACAGGTCCCTCCACTATTAAAATTCTAAGTGTGTGTTTGAAATAGATTTTATGTCTAAACATAAACACTGTCTAAAACTCTGGATTGTTAATGAATGAATTGGGGTTCATTCTGATGTCTTTGGTCTGTCAGTATAACTGCTGTAATGTTTTGCTCTACAGTTTTTCCTATGATGGCAGGTGGAAGCAAAAATTACAGACGTCTGTGGACTTTCCATTAGAAAATCTTGACTTGTCGCAGTATGTTATTGGCCCAAAGAACAATCTGAAGAAATATAACTTGTTTTCTGTTTCAGTAAGTATCTCATTGAACTACTTTTTCTTTCAAAGCAAACTAAAAAAAACAAGTTTCAGGTTGTTCCTTACCTCACAGGAAAGTAGGAATAACATTAAAGCTCTGAAATTATTGACATATTTTAAATAATTCAATTTGAATTGACTTTCTATCTTGTTTTGCACAGAATCACTACGGTGGGCTGGATGGTGGCCACTACACTGCCTATTGTAAAAATGCAGCAAGACAGCGGTGGTTTAAATTTGACGATCATGAGGTTTCTGATATTTCCATTTCTTCGGTGAAATCTTCAGCAGCTTATATCCTCTTTTATACGTCACTGGGACCACGAATAACTGATGTAGCCACATAAGGAAAAGTAGGTTTTAAGCTAGTTACCTTTTAACAGGCTGAGCAACACGACTCTTGAATTGCTTATAAAGATTCTGGATAGGCATCGCTGGCCATTTAAAGGACTTGTAGGACAATGAGAGCTGTGTTACTATACCATATACTTCTGGTCAGCGCTATTATCAAAAAACTGACCAAGAACATTTAACAAGTATTGCAGTAAGCATTCCTTACAGGTACCATTTATTTCAAAACAAGTTTTTTAGTTTGCTCCAAAGTTAAAATAATTAACTAGCTAAGCATTATTATTCTGCTGGTCTAAAAATCATTGTATCCTTTATTTTCCTATTCACTGTTATGGCCTTTTCACATTTCTAAATCCAAGCTTGATCTAATGAATACTCTAGAATGATGTAAAGCAGATAGGAATGTATGTGTATATATTTATTGCACACTTGCACATCAAATCAATGTACATAGTATAATATGTGGTCCTTTTGTGAAGCCTAGAACTCAGAGGATTGCTTCCCCGCCCCCTCCTTTTGGCCTATTCTGAGTAACTGCAGTGCTTTCTTAGGGACATGACAGGGCAAAGCTATTTTTTGTTGGCTTTGGGCTGTATTTGTGCACTAAATCTTTATTCTAAAAAAATAAATGGAAACTTTTCTTTAATTTTTTAAATGAGAATTTTCATTTACACCTACATTAAAATCTTAATGAGAAAAATAATTAAAAACCCTGTAAGTGTTCTGTCTTTAATTTTATATTGTTAAACAGGACAGCAGAATTATAATTTTTACACACCTTTATCCCAATACAGTGACTTAAAATTTAGTACACTTACTCTGTTGTATCACTTGATTCCACTCTTCCTTCACCTTGACCATGAACTGCATATAGAACTCATGATTCTCTCAAGAATTGAAAGTCAAAGTAGGATATAAAACCTTAACACCCAGGCAGACTTACTCTATCAAGAGTAGTAGAGTTCTTAGGATTAAGGAAAAAAGATGACAGCAAAGTGAACTGAATTATAAACCACATCTTTACAAACTGATGTATTGAAAGGGATAGAGGAGCATAGAATTTATCATTTACCTCAGGGACTTGGTTGTTACAGGTAAAGTCAATATAAACACTCCATATAAAAATAAGATTCTAAAGGTGCTCCTGAAAGATGTCGCCATTAGTGAATTCCCAGGAAGATGAAAGAATCGGTTTTGAATTGTGAAATGGACGACTTTTCATGTTCTACAGTTAGTCTGAGTGACATAGCTTCTTGGCTAAATTATCAGAGCAATTAATATTTTCAAATCACATTCAAATCACAGAGCCACTTGAACAAAAGTTATTTTGGTTTAGCTCCATGAAGTATCTTTGGAAAATAATTTGTTGGATATATCTAATTATGAGATAATCTATGATAAAAATACACATTACTAAACACTGCACTTTGAAATATGCACACAGTACATAATCTGAGTGCTATAAAGGTCCCCATCTGTTAGTACTGCATCATTTTTTGCTGCCTTTTTCAATGGGCTGGGACCCATGTTTGTTATAGACTTACCATGTAAAAGGTTGCATAATATGCCAGAAACATTTAAAAATGTCAGTGAATGCAAGTTAGTTGCAAGACTTTTAATGACAAAGCAAAACGTAAGTACCAGGTTCTCACTGCTAGTTTTGCAATTTTCAGGGAACACCATTTTCTTAGCTCTTGCATTTTTGTCTAGGTATAGAAAAGGGCTGACAGCTGTAGAACAGGAGATATGCTGCAGCAGTTTGGACTGAAGTATCTGGAATCTCACTGACTCGTGTGTCATCAAAGCTGTACCAGGCCTGGGTCACTGAGTTCTTGCAGAAAGCAGTGTAGTGGCCACCATCCAGATCACCAAAATGGTTCTGGGGGAAAGAAGACTTAGTGTTTACATTAAAATACTTAACTGTTACAGCCAAAAATGCAAATATTTTTAATAATTGTCCTTTATACTGGATTAAAAGGAAATGACAGTTTTAAGTCAAATCATACATATATAGCCTGACTGCTCTATTTTTCATGTCACTGAAATGGTTATACATTATGTTCATTGACTATTTAATAGAATATGTTATGAAACAGGATAGTATTTGACAGCAGTATTTATTAGTTAATACTGAGCACCTACCATCAGTTCAGTTCAGTTGCTCAGTCATGTCTGACTCTTTGTGACCCTGTGGACTGCAGCACGCCAGGCTTCCCTGTCCATCACCAACTCCTGGAGCTTATTCAAACTCCTGTCCATTGAGTTGGTGATGCCATCCAACCATCTCATCCTCTGTCTTCCCCCTTCTCCTCCTGCCTTCAATCTTTCCCAGCATCAGGGTCTTTTCAAATCAGTTAGTTCTTTGCATCAGGTGACCAAAGTACTGGAGTTTCAGCTTCAACATCAGTCCTTCCAATGACTATTCAGGACTGATTTCCTTTAGGATGGACTGGTTGGATCTCCTTGCAGTCGAAGGGACTCTCAAGAGTCTTCTCCGACACTCGGCTTTCTTTATAGTCTAACTCTCACATCCATACATGACCACTGGAAAAACCATATTTTGACTAGATGAACCTTTGTTGGCAAAGTAATGTCTCTGGCTTTTTAATATGCTGTCTAGGTTGGTCATAACTTTCAAGGAGCAAATGTCTTTTAATTTCACGGCTGCAGTCACCATCTGCAGTGATTTTGGAGCCCCCAAAAATAAAGTCTCTGTTTCCATTGTTTCCCCATCTACTTGCCATGAAGTGATGAGACCGGATGCCATTATCTTAGTTTTCTGAACGTTGACCTTTAAGCCAATTTTTTCACTCTCTTTCACTTTGAAGAGGCTCTTTAGTTCTTCACTTTCTGCCATGAGGGTGGTGTTAACTGCATACCTGTGGTTATTGATATTTCTCCCAGCAATCTTGATTCCAGCTTGTGCTTTATACAGCCCAGCATTTCATATGATGTACTCAGTTAAGTAAGCAGGGTGATAATATACAGCCTTGATATACTCTTTTCCCGATTTGGAACCAGTCTGTTTTTCCATGTCCAGTTCTAACTTGTTTCTTGACTTCCATACAGATTTCTCAGGAGGCAGGTCAGGTGGTCTGGTATTCCCATCTCTTGAAGAATTTTCCACAGTTTGTTGTGATCCACACAGTCAAAGGATTTGGCATAGTCAATAAAGCAGAAGTAAATGTTTTTCTGGAACTCTTGTGCTTTTCAATGATCCAGTGGATGTTGGCAATTTGATCTTTGGTTCCTCTGCCTTTTCTAAATCCAGCTTGAACATGTGGAAATTCATGGTTCACATACTTTTGAAGCCTGGCTTGGAGAATTTTGGGCATTACTTTGCTAGCATGTGAGGTGAATGTAATTGTGCAGTAGTTTGAACATGCTTTGCCATTGCCTTTCTTTGGGATTGGAATGAAAGCTGACCTTTTCCAGTCCTGTGGCCAGGTTCCAGGTATCTCTTGGGAGTCAAGACTTGCCTGTTACTCCAAGAGATACCTGGAGTCAAGAGCACCTACCATACACAGACTATTAAACATCAAAGGAAATTTTAAAATAATAATCTCCTAAATGAGTTTATAGTGTAATTTTGAAGACAGGCATTAGACGTGAAAAAAGACATTTAAAATGGCAACAAGACATAAAAGGACTGCATATTGTGACCACACAATTTGAGGGAGGTGCACAGCAACAGCTCCCTCAGTCATCCAAGGCCCAAAGAAGAACCTGTTCCATTCATCTTTCCAGTCCCAGTAGAGGAATGTTTGAAACAAAGGCATTGGAGAACCTCATTTCTCAGAAGTAGTATGGCATACAGCAGGAGTCAACAATATCTGGCCATGGGTCGGAGCCAGCCCACTGCCTGTTTCTGTATGGCTCGTGAATTAAGAATGCATTTATATTTTATATTTTTACATGGTTGAAAAAAGTTAAAAAAAAATATTTTGTGATGTGAAAGTTACATGAAATTCAAGTTTTTCAATGTCCTTAAATAGTTTTATGGGAATACAGCCATGCTCACTTGTTTCTAAGTGGCTGCTTTCACACTGCAACAGTAAAGTTGAGTAGCGACTAGATACATGGCCTGCAAAGCATAAAATATTTATTGTCTTGCTTTTTACAGAATAAATTTGCTTGATCCCTGGGGTAGGCGGAGGAAAATGGATTTTTCTAGTCAATTCTGACTATGAATTCAGCTTTAATACTACACAATGACCTTAAGGAAATTGTTTAACCTTTCTGAGCTTTAACTGCCCTATCTTTTAAGACTGGGTAACAACACCTTGTCTTATATACAACTACTATTTCTCTGGTAGTGCAAGCACATAGGAGGTACTTTTTAAGTGTCCCCTTTGACCTTCATCTTCCTCACATTTCCCCTTACACACTAGAGAAATATCCCAAAGCTAACATATAAAAGATTCAGGCTCTGGTCCTGATGTTGGCCATGTGACCTTAAGCTGATACACTTAAATTTCCTTATTTATAAAATCATGCCCAGAGACTTCCTGGTGGTCTAGTGGTTAAGACACTGTGCTCCCAATACAGGGGGGCCAGGTTCAATCCCTGGTCAGGGAACTAGATCCCACATGCTCCAACAAAGATTGAAGATCCCCAGGTCACAATTAAGACCCAGCACAGCCAAATAAGTAGGATAAATACTTAAAATGTCCATAATACTTTGATGTAATTTGATTGAGAAAAACAAAATGTCTGGTATGGATACAGATGATGAGTAATGTTCTAAAGTGACTAGACAGATCATGGGTAGAATATGTTGTTGTTTTTTTTTAATCTTGTTGGATTTATTAAAAGTTTATATTTTATTGGAAAAATTTTTTGAAGCGACAGCTTATGTCTTGCTGATTTTTCTCCTGTTTTCCTATTCTCAGTTTCATTAATTTCTGCTATTATCAGTTTTGATGGCTTGCTGTAAAAAACAAACAAAAAAACAAACATAGCAGTAGCAGGTGAAGCATCATTCTTGACTTCCGTTCCCAGTATTTTTGGCAAACAGCTAGCCTGAAAGCCTTAGTATGAAACTGTAAGGAATGCTGAATGAAACACGATAAATACCCATTGAAATATATGGCTAACTTTAAAGATGGTATAGTGAAAGTAATCTCAAGGGGCCAAGTATAGAGGAAATAAAAGATGAGTGTGATATATGGTTGATGCTGTGACTGTCTGGGAGTAAAGGCAGTTTTTGGACTCTGGAACCACTATGCTTGGATTTTAAAGGCACTAGAGTTGGAGGTAAAGTCTTAAGTCCCTGCAAGGTGAGGCATTGGAATGAAATTCACACACATAGCCACAACCTCTTAAAAGAGATCAACCCTCAATAACAGAACAAATGGGACTTCCCTGGTGGTCCAGTGGTTAAAAATCCACCTTGTAAGGGAACTAGGATCCTACATGCTGGCGGCCAACCAAGCCCGAAGGCTGCAACTACTGAGCCTGAGCTCTAGAGTCCGTGCACCACAACTACAGAGAAGCCCGTTGCTGCAACAAAAGATCCTGCAAGGCATGCTGCAACTAAGACCTGACACAGCTAAATAAATATTTATTTTTTAAAAAAGAATAAATGATGGGGGGGGGGATCTATCCTCCAGTGTTTAGCTTAGCTTAGGCCTCTGGGTACAAAGAAATTCCTAGAAATTTGTTACCACAGACCTGGCTTCTTTGGGGAATTCAAATTTAAACTGTTAATACCTGTGTGTGTCAGAATCCTGTGAATTTAATGTGAGGATGAGAATTATTTTGGGGTTGCTTGGCAAAAGAAAAGAGAATTACCTTCTAGATTGATGGACCTTAATTCAGGCTGCACAGGATAACCACACATTAAGGAAAAAAAAGCCAGTGATGCTTCACTGGTGCAGTGAATATTCACAATTTAATATTACAGAACACACAAGAAAACAATTCACCATGAATAAGAGAAGGCAATAAATAAGATTAAACTCCAAGCACTTTAGGTAATAGAGACTATACAGAAAGTATACAAATATTTAAGAACAGGAAGCAAACTTTGGAAACTTAAAAAGAACTTACAGAAATGATAAACTTGAATTAAAAAATTTCAAGTGTTGATAGTACATAGTACATAGAATTGAAGAGAGAATGAATACATTATACAGATGAAACTGAGGAAGTTCCCCTGAATGTAGTAGTGGCACGAAGTTGAAAGAGAACATTCAGTGTATACCTAGCAGACGTGCTAGAGAATAAAGCACAGGAACAAGGCATTATTGAAAGTGACAACGACTAGAAATGATTAAGGAAAGACATGAATCTTCAAATTTAGAAAATATGGTGAACCAAGGATAAATAAAAATAATACTGCAAGACAACAAAGTTTTAAAGGCAACAGGAAAAAAGGATTATCCACAAAAGAATAACATGATGGCAGAACCCCACAGCAGCCATATAAACCTGAAATAAAAAGTTTTAAAACAATAAAAAGTAACTACATCCAGAATTTGCTCTCTAGTTAAAGCATTCAAGAATCAAAGTAAACAAAAGATTTTTTTCAGTCAGAGACTTAGACTTCAGGATAGCAGACTTGATGTAAAGTCCACTGAAGTATGTTCTACACAAATAAAATTGAGTACAAGTGGAAAAGTGATAACTAAGACAGCCTGAGGACTTCCCTGGTGGTCCAGTGGTTAAGAATCCACCTGCCAACGCAGGGGATATGGGCTTGATCCCTGGTCTAGGAAAATTCCACATGCCTGTGGAGCAACTAATAAGCCCATGTGCCGCCACAACTGAGAATGAATGCCAAAACTACTGAAGCCCGCATGCTCCAGAGCCTGTGCACTGCAACTATACCAGAGCCAATGAATCAAGAGCTACTTAAGTCTGTGTGCTGCAACCACTGAAACTCATGCACCCTAGGGCCTGTACTCTAAACAAGACAAATAACCACAATGAGAAGCCTGTGTACCACAATTACAGAGTAGCTCCTGCTCGCTGCAACTAGGAAAAGCCTGCAAGTAGCAGTGAAGACCCAGCCAAAAGTTTAAGAAAAAAACAAAAAATTGATATATATATATTTCAGTTATTAATTTTGTTAAAGCAGATAAGAACTTAAGAATATATACTTGAACAACACAACAAATTTTATTTAATGAACATATGGAACTCTGAACCTAATTTAAAAATTCTTTTCACACACACATAAAACTAGTACAAAAAGCAAGTATCAACCCATACTATGAATGGATAATACTGGAGCATATTTTCTGATAAAAATGCAGTTAAGTTAGACATTAGAAATACAACTATATAAAATTATGTTTGGAATTTTTGAAATGCACCTCTAAATAACAATTTGATGGAAATCAAAGGAAGCTGAAGATGGGAAATAAAAACCAAAGGTCAATGAAATAGAACACAAAGAAATAATCAACAAAACCATAAGCTGGTTCTTTCCGATAACAAAACAGATAAACCACAGTGTTAAGGATAAACAAAGGGAGAAGTGAGAATTCAATTGTGTTGTTTAGTCCCTCAGTCGTGTCCAACCTTTTGCAACCCCATGAACTATAGCCCGCCAGGCTCCTGTGTCCATGGGATTTCCTAGGCAAGAATACTGGAGGGATTTCCATTTCCTTCTCCAAGAGATCTTCCTGACCCAGGGACAGAATCTCCTGCAAGCCCCCTGAATTGCAGGCAGAATCTTCTTTATTGCTGAGCCACTTGTAAACAATTTTCTGCTAACAAATTTGAAAATGCAAAAAAAAAAAAGGATTTTAAATATTCTTAAAACCATGTTAAAATAAAAGCTTTTATAAGTTAAAACAGAGAAGTGTCTTCATGATCTTTGGGTAGAGCAAGCTATGGTATTTTCACACAATGGAATATTATACAGCAATGAAAATGAGTAAGCCACAATACATGCAATAATATGAATGAATGTTGCATAATTCTGAGTGAAAGAAGTCAGACACAAAAGAGTCCACACAGTAGGATTTCATTTCTGTAAAGCAGAAGAACTGGCAAAACCTGTCAGCAGCCAGTGGTCGCCTGGACTAGAAGGGGCCACACAGGCAGTTAGGGTACCGGTAATATTCTACTTGAACCATATTCTGGTTACACTGGCAGAACACTGGTTACCTTTTTGCAATTTTACTGAGTTTTACATTCATGGTTTCCATTTTTAGAAAACAGACCTGTGGACATAGGGAGGGGAGGGTGGGACAAAGCGGAGATTAGGGTTGACATATATACACTACCATGTATAAAATAGTGAGCTAGTGCGAAGTTGCTGCATAGCACTGAGGGTTCAGCTTGGTGCTCTGTGATAACCCAGATGGGTGATGGGGTGGTGGTGGAAGGGAGCCCCAAGAAGGAGGGGATGTATGTATACACGTAGCTGATTTACTTTGTTGTACAACAGAAACTAGCACCACACTGTAAAGCACTTCTACTCTAATAAAAAAAATGAAGTAACAGAAACTCCTGGATAGACTCACCATGGCTAAAGCAAATTGATCAAATATTTCAAAATCTAATCACCAAGAACAAAAATTCCAGGACCAGATAGTTTTTTTGTTTAATTGTACCAGACTTTCAAGAAACAAGTTAATTTTATCTTATACAGACTGTGCCAGAGAATAGAAAAGAATGGCAAACCTATTTTATGAGGCTAGAAACAGACTGATCCCTAAAACAAAAACAGAAAAGGACAGTATGAGAAAGAAAGTTACAGGTTAGTTTCTTGATTGTGAAAATAGATATTAAAAATGTGAAAACAATTTTAGCAAAAAAAAATTAAGTAGAAAATGAATGTTGTTTGCTATGTTAATAAAGGAGAGATTCAGGTCAGTAATCTTCAAAATGTTATCTGGAAGAATAAAGTTTCATGTGTTAGCACATGACAATGCATTATACAAAGTTGTGAGAGCAAAATATTAGAAACAACCTAGATACAAAGAATTACTAAAAGCAGGTAAAATGTATGCACTAAAGCTAATCTAGCAATATGGATTAATATCACAAAAATAAAGCTGAGAGAAAAAGTTATAGAAGGATATGTAAGTTAATTATACTAGATTTATAAAACATGCAAAACAGACTATATCACACATACATGTGTGACAAAAGTATGAAAGAATGCATGGGATGTGCTTTGCTGTGCTAAGTCACTCAGTCGTGTCTGACTCTTTGCGACCCTATGGACTGTAGCCAGCCAGGCTCCTCTATCCATGGGATTCTGTAGGCAAAAATACTGGAGTGGGTTGTCATACCCTTCTCCAGGGGACCTTCCCAACCCAGGAATTGAATCCATGTCTCTTAACACCTGTGTTGGCTGGCAGGTTCTTACCACTAGCACCATCTGGGAAGCCCTGCATGGAAGTAATTCCTTCCAAATTCAGGACCGTGGTTACAACTGAGAAAGGAGCAAAGTGGAGTTGTTATACAAGACACACAGAGGCTTGATTTTTTCCTACAATATTCTAGTCTTAACATCTGTGTGTGTACATATTATGTTTTCTTTGCCTGAAATATTTCATAATTTTAAAGTTTTCCTAAAAACCAATCATTTGGAGAGGGCTGAAGGGGGTAAATGCTGTTAGTGTATGATCACTATTTTCAAATATTTGAAGGATTTTCACATATAAGACATGTAAGATAAAAGAAGGACAGGGAAGCCTGGTGTGCTGCAGTCCATGGGGTTGCAAAGAGTCAGACACAGCTGAGTGGCTGAACAACAACACCACATATAAGAAATAAAAATGAGTTCTGCTTAGCTAACACATACGTACAAGCATTTGTTAACCAAAAAGTCACATACGTGTTAGCTGTGCTGTGTTCAGTTGTGTCCAACTTTTGTGACCCTATGGACTGTACCCCACCACACTCCTCTGTCCATGGCATTTTCCAGGCAAGAATACTGGAGTGGGTCACCATTTCCTTCTCTAGGGATCAAACCCACCCCTCTTGCGTCTCTTGCACTGGCAAGTGAACTCTTTAGCACTGCACCACCTGGGAAGCCCAAAGAATTTGGGCCCAATGTAGAGAGACAAGTCAACAGTCAGAGGCAGCATAATATAGTAGTGAGAGCAGGACAGCCTGCCTGGCTTCAGACCCTGGCTCTGCCCCTTGTAGGCACTAGATTGGAAAAGATTATTTAACCTCTGTTCCTGTTTCCCATTCTGTAAGATGGAGATGATAATAGTGCCCACGCCTCACAGGGCTACATAAGAATTAAATGATTGATTATTTATAAAGTGCTTGGAACACTATCTGGTACATAGCAAGCACTGTATGTTTGTAAAATCAAACAAATCTGGCAGATAAAGAGCCTTCCTTGTAAAGCAGAGAGCTCTTTAAGGGTTTATTCGAAAGCTGGATAAATATCTGTTAAGGATGGTGTGGAGGCAATCCTTCCTTTTTGTGCCAGGGTTGAATACTTCTCAAACTTCAGTATGCATTCCAATCACATGGGGATCTTGCTAAAATGCAAGTTTCCAGTCAGTAAATGTGGGGTGAAGCCTGATCTTTCTTATTTCCATCAGGTATTTCCTGGGGAATGACACCTTGTGTAGCAGAGTTCTGGATGGCCTTTCCCCAGGACCATACATCACAGTTTCTAAGATGTTTAGTTCTTGTTTCTGATCAATCACCAATTTTCAGTAAATTCTAGGTATATTTCTTTCAAAATCAATTTTTGCCCTTCAATTAACTAATTTAACTATTGTTAACTAAGTTAACAATTAACTAATTTAAACAAAGGATTAAGAATTTATAGGAAGCTTGGGTGACTCTTTTAATATAAACATGTACCTTTTCATACTGCAGATAATTATCATAAAAGTTTTTATAAATTCTCCTTTTGAATTTTTTATTTAAAGCAGAAACAGTTATAATGAGAAGTGAAAACAGTAAAATACAGAGGTGGGGCAATTCCTATTATCATTTTGGAAGTCACATTAGAGTCTATTATGATAGAGAAGAAAAATGTCACTCTAGATTTCCAAATTGGCAAGTTAGAGAAGGAAAACCATATTAAAGGGCAGGATAAATTAGAAGAAGAATGTCAAGGATTAACATAAAAAGGATAAAGTAAAGAAGGATCTTTTTTAAGTTTGAAGTATGGTTCTCAGTTGAGAGATATTAAAGAGAAAGACCAGTTGAAACAATATTTTATATTAATTCAACGATAAGCTTAATAGCAAATTACGACTTCAGCCCACCAGAGGACTCTGGTGAATCACACTGGGATCGAGTGGGAGCCTTGCCCATCTGATACTGGACACAATTGGACCTCCAAGTTCAAGTGAAACCTGAATGTTCTGAAAAAGATAACACTGTGATCCAGAACAGAAACCAGGAGATGGCCTCATGCTTGGGGTGGGTTGATGCTCTGGGAAGTTGTAGAAGGTCTGGTCTGAATTATACTCCATGATTTCTTTCCTTAAGGGAATCCTCAATGATGACAGTTGATTCAGAGCCAATGGAATCCCCAGAATTTCTTCAGGACTGATGCTCACAGGTAGTGATTATGTTTGGGGGGCTTTCACCATAGAGAGGCTCATGATTATTCAACATAAAGCTACTGGAACCAATTTGTGCTGCCCACTGCCCAGAGCACAGCTCACAAATGTCCCTAGATCTGAAATAGCCATGGAGTAGTGGGACAGTAAGGAGGAAGTGTAGAGGACATTGTATTCTTTCATTGCCCTACTGTTCAAGGTCAAAGCAGACAGTTTCCAGGCTCTCTATTTTGTTTTTAAAAGAACAGTACAGGAGAAGTCAGGGTGAGATAGGAGTAGTCATTCAAGCAAATAATTCTACAGTTTTCTTTAAACCTGTGTTACTTTATATAGTTTTAGCATTTTACTCACCACCACTGCACAGAGGTTATATTTAGGATGTTTCCGAAAAGTTGGACAAATGTAAGGAGTAAGGTCCAAGTTAGTGAGCGGGTAGTGAATATCTGTCCTCAGTTTCCTTTTCATTGTACCCAGAATGTCAAACCTGGAGAGATAAAATAAATGTGTGAGATAGTGAGTTTGTAAACCACTCATGAATGAAGTCCACATACTTTTAGACGAGATCGGGTGCGTTCAGGGTGGTATGGCCGTAGACATCCACATACTTTCACAAGTTCATAGTTAAAATTAATTTCTTGCAAAGATTATTTGGTGCTGACCTTTACAAAAATTACTTTGTCTCATCTACATATATTTAGAATCTTCGCATCCACAAGCTTTGCCAAAACTGAGGCTGGAGTGGGCCAAGGGCCTGAGTCAAGGAATGAGAAGGATTAGAGTCAGTCTAGCAGGAGGAAAAGAATGGAATTAAGGGCAGGATCAGCACTGGAGGAGTAGAAATCACACTGGTGGCTTCCTGAAGTCTTCCCTCCAGCAGATGCTGTTCACCCTAACCGAGCTGACTCAGCCTTTTCTTATCTTGATTTCCGCACACATTTTCCAGCTCTGAGGTTTTAACACATCTTTAATAAGATAAAACTTTGTGAAAATCTTGTCACATTTTCTAGGTGTTACATAGATCAGCAAATCTGAGGTCATATCAGAATCACCCCAAGAGCTTTTTAAAAAATACATTATGTTCATTTTGGAAAAATGGCTGATTTAGGTCTAGAGGAAGGAAATTACTGGATGAGCCTAAGATATTCTTGTGCCAGAAAGTAAAGAATCCTGTTTGCAAAACCTAAAGGAATATCAAGGGGAAATGTCAAAAAGTGACACCAACTAGTGAAGATTTTAGGGTATATGGATACTCATTATATACCTTTTCAACGTTTCTGTATACATGAAACTTTTAAAAATAAAAACTGAGCCGGGGTGGAGATTAAAAATTAAAATAGTGATGCTCAGATTCCAGTCAGACTTATGGGATTAGAATCTTCAAGGGTGGAGCCAGGGAATCTATTTTTAAAAAGCACTCAAAGTGAGTTCCAAAATGTCTATCAGTAGTTAAAAAGATAAAGAAAACATGATGGAGTATTACACAGCTATAAAAAGGAATGAAATTCTGGTACACATCACTACAAGGATATCTGACCTTGGAAACATTATGCTAAGTGAAACAGGTCAGCAAAAAAAACAAATGTTGTTGACTATACCTATGTTATACTTAAGTATCAGAATAGGCAAATTTACAGACAGAGAAAGCAGATTGGAGGTTATCAGAAGCTAAAGGGAAGAGGAGTGAGGGGTGGTTAATGGTTCCAGAGTTTCTGTAGAGGGTGACGAAAAAGTTTTGGAAATACTGACTGATATACAACACTGTGAATTGTAATGAATGCCAGTGAAATTGTACACTTAAAATGGCCAAAATGGCAAATTTTATTATGTATATCTTACCACAGATTTTAAAAAATTAATATACCCAACACCATCTAATTGAACACTTAAATGGGTGAAATTGCATGGTATGTGAGTTACATGTTAAAACTGTTCCAAAAATCTGCTCACAAAATGTTAAAATCCATACCTTTTTAGGTGAAAGACAATTGTTTTTGGCGCTTTGGAAATGGCAGCCCTCACCGCTGTTTCTTGCTTGGTTTCACAAAAGGAACAGTGAATCCGGTTGTTCCAGGTCAATGTGTCTTGTTGAAAAAAACACTGGAGACAGTCCTATTTTGTAAAAAAGCATTTGATGACCAAACTGGATCCATCGCAATCTGGGCTCCTGTCTGTATTAGAACTCTGAAAGAGCTGCAGAAACGTAATCCCTGGTGCTTTTCTCAAAGTCAAGTCCAAGAGATGCCAGCACCACAAGATGCAGCCTGGATAGAATCCACCTGGCAAAGGAGGTGCTGCTTTCTCACTTAGTTGCTGCAATGGATCCAAATGCCCATCTCATTTCTAATCTCTGAATCATCATTTTACTATTTCTGATTTGTTTCAGAATAATACCAAATATGCAATTTCCACTAACAAGTCAGGCTTTAAGTTATCTGTCTCATCACAAAAGTGATCTGGTGACTGAAAATGGCCATATCCCAGTATCTGGGGGTGGGCCATAATAAAGACAGCAGAACAGAGAGAATCAGACCTCATGCCCACAGGACACATCATCAACCAGCCAAGCCCCCTGCTCTGCAAACCACTGGCCTAAAGAGGAAGTGAGCACAGATTGCCAGTGCCTCATTTAGAGGCTTTGGAATTCATCTCCAGCAGGCTTTAGCAGTTTGATCTGAGAAAAAGTCCAGGTCTGAATAAGCAGAATTCTTTTCTCTAATTCTGGTATGTGAAAAAAGTTTTAGCAACAGATGTACTTTCATAATTTTGGATGAAAAATATTAATGTGTGTTTTTCTGCAAGGAAACTTATTGCTCCCTGCCTCCTAACAGCCACCTACCTTTTACTGACACCTCCCACCCCCCCAACCCCCCACCCACTCCCTGACCCTCCCCACTCCATTTACAGATTAACTTTTGGTATTACAATAAAGAAAATTCAGGAGGTAAACTAAGATACCATTCCATTCTATCTTCCCCCTCAAATTCCTCAGCTTTTGTCCAAATATAAGTGCTCAAGACTGAGTCAGATTCATTTCTATCTAGTTTCCAATCTGGACCTACAGAACTCTGGGTTGAAAAGGGGCCATAGAATTTTTATAAGTTTAAATTTCCTGTATGCACCAAGCCATCTCAATAGATTGACTAAAGCCCACTTATCTATCTATTTTACAGTGTGGCTGTTTCACTGAGTGTCATCAGAGTTACAGCTGAATTCATAGTAACTTTTGGCTGTATGTCACTTTTCTACAAAACACTGTCATCATGGGCTTCCAATTTTTTTTAGTTATAAAGTGGCTCCCCTTATACTAGAAAATACAGGAAACAGTGCTGAGAAAATCCAGGGCTGGGGCAGAGAGAGACAAAAGAAGTCTCCAAGAGTAAGAATTCTTACCTGAAGAGAGCACTCGTATTCGGATGGAATGGGGAGGGAGATGACAGTGAAAACTTCGTTCTTGTAGGTGCAGTTCTCACACTTTAAACATATGATGCTATAACTGAGCTGCCCTTCAAACAGCCGGGTGATGATGGAGGACTCATTGGCGATCATCCTCCTGCAGCATCTTGGAATGGATTTTTTTTCATATGATTTTCTCCAGTGGTACTAATCAAGGGACAAATTCATGCCAAATCAACTACTGGTTATCAAAGTTGTTTTAATAGAATGACCTGATTTTTCTATCAGAATGCTACCCAAAACTTTAGTTCTGGATTCAGATAATAAATAGAATAAGATTTTAAGAGTATATAATAGGTATGATTTCTGATAATTCATTGATTTGCCTCTTTAAGTGAAGTTGAGGATAAGGACACCCTAACCCTGGTAAAACCCATGTCCATGGTGCCACAAGTTGACAGCCAATGATAATGTGATATCAGGCTCTAGAGCCAGGTTTTCCTGGGAAAAGGGTAAGCTGCAAACTGGCTTCTGGTCATGCAAGTTTATCTAGCAGTAAGATAAAGGAATTGGATCTTTCTTCCAGTCCCTTCAGGTTATATTCTATAGCCTCCTACTGTTAGAAAAAAAAAGTTTCTTAAAGAGCAAATGTTAAACTCCTAAGACAGCCCAATTGTGTTAGGCTTGTAGCCTGATGTGAATCTAGCTGATGCCCAGGAACAGCATTTCCGGGAGAATGTTCTGACTGTCCAATGATTCTACAGCCTCAGCGAAATGTTCTAAAGGCACTATGCTTTCAGTCGGTTCTGCTTTGGGAGCTTCTTTCATCACACCTCCTACCCGCATCTCCTACCATTAATTCTACCTACCTTTTTCAGAGCTTCATGAAGTTCATTCAGGACATAAATCAAGAATTCCTGAGCATCTTGCTGTGTCTTTTTCATAAATACTGGGTAGAGGTTGCCAAGAGCTGACCGAAATATTTCTGGTGAGACACAGTCAGAGTCTCCAAGCCACATGTCTGTCATCACATATGCAAAGGCAGTGGCAACCTCACTGCAGTCCCTAAGAAGGAGGGGAGATGTTTCTGGCTGATCATGTGGCATCAGACCCCAAGCTTCATTCATTTCTTGGCTGACCTTCTCATTTTACTCACCCTAGAAACAGGATCTGGGGTGCTGCAGCCTCTACTAACTGGTTTAGCCCTTTCCAGAAGGTCCCTTCCCTAACCTCCCTTCTCCCCCTCCCTGTTGGAGAACAGGGGTGGGGGCCAGGCCACAGGTAAGGCAAATGGTCTTACTTTTGAAGAGAGTTAATGTACTTTCCCGAGAGAAAGTATTCCACCAGTGGTGAGATGCTGCAGAGACACTGTAAGATGGCGTTCATGTAGCATGTGTTGCCCAGGTTCCGCAGGCCTGTCACCCCCTGGAAATGGGGCTGGTTCTCTTCAGCCTCATTAACTGGGCACGGGTCATAGTGATCTGTGCACTCTGCACTGTGTTGGTGCCACGTGGAAAGAAAGGAAAGCATTTTGAAGAAACAAAATATGCACAAATGAAATCAGGCCCTCTCAGCCTCTTGACACAAAAAAGAGTTCTTCATAAGACTTCTACCAAATACATTCCCTATCAAAGACTGAAGTATTTGGACTTGTAAAACTGTGCTACTTGGCTCAGGACTCTCTGAACAGTGAAAGTGAAGTCGCTCAGTTGTGTCAGACTCTTTGCGACCCCATGGACTGTAGTCTACCAGGCTCCTCCGTCCATGGGATTTTCCAGGCAAGAATACCGGAGTGGGTTGCCATTTCCTTCTCCAGGAGATCTTCCGGAACTAGGGATTGAACCCAGGTTTCCCACACTGTAGGCAGATGCTTTACCATCTGAGCCACCAGGGAACTTTGGACTGTGCCTGCAGCCAAATAAACAGAGATAAAATTTCTTCCTAAAACCAAAGCTAGAGGACAGAAAATACTGCCCTTTCAGAGTCCTAGAATCTGCTAAAAATGCAGACTTTCTTTCTAAATACCATTTAGAGTATTTACATTTTTGCTGGACAAGTAATTTAATTATTATTACTAGTAATAATAATAATAGATAGCAGTTAATAATAATGATGGAGAAGGAAATGGCAACCCACTCCAGTTTTCTTGCCTGAGAAATCCCATGGGCAGAAGAGCCTAGCAGGCTACAGTCCATGAGGTCACAGAGTTGGACACAACCAAGTGCATATGCAGAGTAAAAATGAAAGTGAAAGTGTCACTTTTGTGAGCCCAAGAACTGTAGGCTGCCAGGCTCCTCTGTCCATGGAATTCACCAGGGAAAAACACTGGAGTGGGTAGCCATTCCTTTCTCCAAGGGATCTTCCCAATCCAGGGATTGAACCTGGGTCTCCCACATTGAAGGCAGATTCTTTACTGTCTGAGCCACCAAGGAAGCCAGCTATCATGTATTAACTGGCACTATGTTAAGCATTTAACATGAACTTTCCTATTTAATTCTTGCAACAATTTTATGGGGTAGTACAGTTATTTTTGAATCCTGTTTTACAGGTGAGATATCATGTGTAAATGCTCTAGTCATCTGATCATGGTAATATACTAAGGCATGCGCAGTGACTTGTAGAGAGAAGGGATATTTATCTACCTACCCATCATCTGTCTGTCAAGTTATTTGGATTTACATATCAAATATTAGGAGTCTATATGTGTGTGTACACATATATATGCCATATATACGTTCAAGAGCATAACATATACACATATTAATATACATATATTAAGAGCACATACATGGATATATGTGTATAAATTATATATGTATATATGTGTATATATACATATAAACACACAAACATACATGGAGAAAAAGAGCACAAACTTTGCAAAAGAAAAATAGATCTTACTTTAAATTATGACTCTGGCACTTACTAGTTACATGATCTGGGACTTTTATATGTCTGTTTCTCATCTATAAAACAGGATAGTGTTACTTGGCTTACAGGATTGTTCTAAGGATTAGATTAAATGATGCAAGGTATAAAGCACAGATTACATAGTTAATAAATGGCAACTTAACCTAAAACAATTTTTAAAGAAATTACTGATCCAGGATGTCCTTAACAGTAGCTATGGAATTCGTATGTCCATATGGATCAACCAGACCGGCACAGAAGAGAGTCCTTTCTCCACACAGAGCTGCCTTCTGTGACTGGGCTACTGCACCAGGCAGCCCACTATCTTTGTCCCTTCGATTTTTCTTTCCACACTTAGTATCTCAAATTGAGTCTCCAGGAGACAGCTACCTCACCTCAGTACCTCTACTTACAATTCTGCCAGTTTGACAAGTTCTCTCTGTTACATGGATGGACATTTCCCTTTTATTTATCAGTATCATGGGAGGCCCTGGCCTGTCACTCTTTAGGAATAACTATTTGCTGGATATTAAATAACATCTTCCCTTCCATTTGGGGGACCTCCAATGAGTCAAACCTGGAAAAATCATTCAAAATGCGGCATGTACCTCCTGACCCCTTAAGCATGGCCTCCTCCTGCCACCCTAGCTAAGCTTATCTAAAAAACTATAGAGACAGAAGCTCACAGGACATAGTAGATACTGAAGTCGTCTTCAGGGAAAGACCGCTGTGAAGCCATTTCATTAAACCACATTGTCTTTCACTTCTATTTAGGAGCTGTGTCTAATCCTTTTAGCTTCATTTCTCCAAGCCTGTTACTTGGGTTCTTTCTGTTTCTAATAAACAACTTGTATGTTCCTCTCTACTTGCAGTAGCTGCAAACTGATTTCATCTATACTTCACGTACATTCCAACTTGGATTTCTCATACATCATAATCCTTTACATTACACTTCAAGATTCTGCAATGTTGCCATTGATACTTGGCTGCTTTAAAATAATATATAGCTTTTGCCATAACTTGGCTGCTTTAAAACTTTCAAAGGTTAGATTTCAGAGAATTTACAGAACATATGATCCCTTTTCCTCCATCTTTCCAAGTGTTTATTGTATGTATATATTATACATTCCCACAAACACATTCACAGAAGATTTGCCTTCACATTAGTGGACACTATGGCAACCCTGCCCCCTTAGGGCACTTATCCACTTACCCAGTGACCACACCTCTTCTAGGCCTTTGAGGGACTGTTTCCCATGGTAGAAAGGGAGACAGCAGTTTTTGCTGCTTCCCAAAACATATAACATTAGGATAGAATAGAGTATTTCCCTTCATGGTCATCAACTAGAGTGCAAAAGAGGTTTATACCCCCCCCCCCACACACACACACATCACACGAGTGCCACGCAGGGCAAATAAAGTGTACGTCATAGAAGAATTTATAAGCTGAGAAATAGCAAAGCACACATGGTCTCCTGAGCTCTCGTTTTCTTAATAGAGAACCATGCATAAGAAAGAACTTCCATAGAGAGGGAACCCCCTGCAAAGAACCCCCCACCTTACACTGTGTCTACAGAGCTAATACCAACCTGTTCTTCCTCTAAAGCAAACTCAGAATCTGTAAGGAGTAGATAAAGAAAGAGCCATTAGGGCCAATTCAGTTCCTTTTTTCTCAACTCTACATCAAGTAAAATGAATAAGACTACAGAAGGGGCTTCCCAGGTGGCTCAGTGGTAAAGAACCCACATGCCAATGCAGGAGACACAAGAGACGTGGGTTTGATTTCTGGGTCGGGAAGATCCCCTGGAGGAGGAAATGGCAACCCACTCCAGTATTCTTGCCTGGGAAACCTGATGGACAGAGGAGTCCATGGGATTGCAAAGAGTTGGACACAACTGAGTGACTGAGAATCAGCATCAAGCATACAAATGGAAAAAGCTCTTCAAAAATGTCAATATCAAGAAAGAAAGAAGGCGGACAACTATTTCAGACTAAAAAGAAACTAGAGAAACAAGACCAAATACTCAATCCTGAGTGGGATCCTGGATTAGGAAGAAAATTAGTATAAAAGGATATTATTAGGACAATTGATAAAACCAGAATATGGATTACATATGAATAATTTTGTATTTTGTTAGATCTTCTGAATTTTGTAACACTGTATTCTGTTTATTAAAGAGAATGCCCTTGTTTTTAAGAACTACACCCTGAAAGATTAAGGGGCAAAGGGGCATGATTTAAGCAACCTGCTTTCAACCTGCTTTCTAAACTGCTTTCAAATGGATCAGAAAAACACACACAGACACAGAAACATGATGAAAGAGGGAGAAGGGAGTGAGAAAGCAAATAGGAAGCATATGCAGCCCAAATGCCTGCAACTGGTGAATCTGAGTGAAGGTATACTACAGTTCATTGTACTCTTCTTACAGTTCTTCTGTAAGCTTGAATTATCTCAAACAGTTACAAAATTAAGAATGTAGTAGATATACTTGTCATTTGGATTTATCACCAAGATATATTACCATTAAGTCAAAAAGCAAGATGCTTAAGAGTTTCCTGTAGTATATCCAAATGGTTATATATCTATCTATATAGATATTTGTACATTAATATATACCTTTATATTTATGTTCAGGCTACACAAAGACATTAAGAATACATTAAGACATTAAGAATTCAAATGATGCCTGAATAAGTGATCCTGGCGACTAGAGAGGCTAACTCTTGCAGTTATTTGAACTTTGCAAATAACTTGAAGTCACCACAGTGGTGGTTTTGGAGGACTTGAATGCTATCATCCTACTCCTTTTGTAGATGAATTTCTCCCAAGACCTTGTTTCTCCTAATCAATGTAGTCTGGTTAAAATTTCATTTTATATTTGATACTGGAAGATAAAAACAAACTTCATATTGATCTTGTATCCAGGAAGATTTCTAAACTTTAGTCTAATTTTTTATTAATATATAGGTTATTTGGATTTTTTCCTTTCAATTCTTAGGCATTTTATTTTTTATCTTTCAAACTAGCTAGCACCTCTTGTAAAATGCTGAATAAAAGTGAGATAGTAGGTATCCGTAGCTCATTCCTGAACTGAGGAAAAATATTAAATAATTCACCGTTAAAAATACCTACTAAAGGCATAATTTGTTTCTTGAGAGCAGCAATCATGAATGGATTGTGAGTGTGATGAGGTTTTGCTGTATCTTCTGTGGCAATCATGGGATTCTCTCTTCTTTATTCTGTTACGGTGGTTAATTACTGACGATGGTCGTACATTAAACTCACGTTCTATTCCTCGGCCGTCCCTGGTGACTCAGACAGTAAAGAATCTGCCTGCAATGCGAGAGACCTGGGTTCGATCCCTGGGCTGGGAAGATCCCCTGGAGGAGCGCATGACATTTCAGAGAAATCTATCTTATTTGTGACACAGTATCATCTTCATGAATTGCTGGGTTCTGTTTGCTAATCTTTTGTTCAATATTTTTGTATCTACGTTCGTTGAGTAAAATCACCTACGGATTAGTATTCTTTACCATGTCACAAATTACCAAAAACTTAGTGGTTTAAAACAATACCTATTTATTATCTCAGTTTCTGTAGGTCAGAGTCCAGGCATGGCTTAGCTGGGATCACATATTGCATTTTGTTGTCAAGTCTCATTAGGATCTTTCAGCCTGAAACGGCTCTTATAAATCTCCTTGACTTTCAAGAATTTACACTTTTGAAGATTACTGGCCAGGTATTTTGAAGGATATCCCTCAATATGGGTTTGTCTGATTTTCCTCATGATCAGATTCACTTCATGCATTTGTAACATACAAATGTCACAGAAGTCATAATGTGTTTTTACTGCCTCACATTAGATATTAGGTGCAACACAATTTTGATCTGTCCCAACACTGGCAATGTTAACTCTAAATCACTCAGATAAAGTGGGGCCTGCCAGGTTTCTCCATCAGTTACTTTTCCCTTTTTTTTTTTTTTTTTGGCTGCATTGTGCAGCTTGTGGAATCTTAGGTCACTGACCAGGGATTAAACCCAAACATTCAGCAGTTAAAGTGCAAAATCCTAACCACTGGACCATCAGGGAATTTCCAGTTATTTCTCCTTTATGTAATCAGTGTTTTGTAGGGAAGACTTAAAACACTACAGGGGTTGCCAAGTGGCAATTTTCTAATGCCATAATTCCAACTACATTCATCAGCTGGTCCTCTACTATAAAGAGACATTTTCTCTTTTCCTTACTTATTTTTAAAAAGTTTTCATCTTTGTGGACTCATAAATTTATACTTTAAAATTCACTGGACTAGAATCTGTTATTATCATCATTTATTTTTGATGTACAAAGTCTCAAGAGTAGCCAGCAGGAGGCCCTTCAAAATGTTTTCTGTACCCACTTGACTCTTTGAGCACCTTCTTACTTTTTAACACAGCAAGATTTTCCACACTTACCTTGTACTATCTCTGTACCAGTCCTGAAGTCAGCCATTTCTCTGAGAGCCCTGGTTCCTGTTAGAAGAGAATAGTATTTAGAAACCAGGATCTGGGAGCTAGGTGTACCCAAGCTACTGCAGTATCACAGGCTCCCATTATCCTCTCTTTGTTTCCTTATTTGATCACCTTCCCTGCAAGCAACTTATCTCCTTTTGCTGCTACTACTACCGATCCCTATCCCATTACACTACACACAGACACCATCCTTACTTACTCTGCTTCTCTGATACCCAATGTCAAGTCACTGCTGCCCCACAATATGAAGCCTAACTAGATTGGTCTCAACTATGGCTTTTTTTTCAGATCAAAGTGTGAATGAATAATGGAAGAGAAGAAAGTAACAAGGCTTTCCCTGTTATTTTCTGCTTCTCATCTTGATGGATTACTTTTGTGTGTGTCTCTTTTCTCAGATTGCTTTAAGTTCACTAAACTGCTACAGAAACTTAAGTAGTATAGCTTTTTAACCTGAGAATGAGCATTCAAGTGTGGGGGTGGGATAAGGCTGTTGGCAACTGTAGCAATGCCTTAGTGGATTTTCCAAGGATTTCCAAGTCTATAGAAAAGTATGGGAGTAGACACTCTTGGATAGACTGCAGCTGTTCTGACAGAGGCCAGTAATGCCCACTCACATTGCGTCATGCGACGAGTCCAAAAAACACAGGTCTGTCCTGCAAATTGTGCCCTCCATGTCCTTGCAAACGTGTGCCCACCTCAGGCTGAGGACATTCGAAGCAGATGTCCACACACATTCTCACACTACAGCCAGTTTAGACGCCTGTGTGCAGCATCCATCCTCACTGCAGTCCAGGGCAGGGAGGGCCGCAGCAGGACCTCGGACACAGTGAGCTCACCCAGCTGGCCCTTACAAGGGTGTGCATACACCTGCCAAGTCCTCAGTGGTCGGGGGAGTCTCCCTTCCCAGACTGAGAGCCACTGTTACATCAAGACATGAACCAAGCGAAGAAGAGTGAAAGGATGGATTACGTTTTTTTTTTTAACTTCCTCTTTTCTCCTCTCCCATTTTCCCTTTCTTCTAACTTTCTGGAAGCTGTACACTGTTTTTATGTTCTATGTTTCCTTTACATATTTCAACCAATATACAAGTAGCCCTTATTACCTTAATATGTTTGGATCCAAGGTTTGAATACCAAGGGATACTGTATTATCCCAAACTATTTAGTTTTGAACCTGTGGATGGCTTGTAGTGAGTTTGTGTGAAAACTTAGTTTATCTAGTGTCTGAGA